AAAAAACTAGATGAAAATTAGCAAGTGGAAATGCAATTTAAAATGATAGAAGGGTCGTTACAAAAAAAAGAAAGTCATTCGGTATATAGTTAGCCGACTAAATTGTGTACCTAATTTTTAGGCCTTAGAAATTGTTGACCCCTTTTGAAATGTCTATAAATATTGTTAATTGTACAGAAAAAAAATTCAATCCTTAAAAAAAAAAAAATAAAGAAAAAAAGAAAAAAAATACTAGAGTCTATATGGTTAAATAGCGAATAAGATTAAAATTTAATCGGTATATTTTCCTAGCTGAGTGCAATTTAACTTCTCAAAGGAACGTTGTTTGATTCCAGTCTTCGCTTTAATATTCGGAATCCGTGCAATATGTAAAGCTCTAGAATAAATTAACTGTATTCAATTATAACTATAATATAATTATAATATTTAAAAGTAATTACTATATTTCTCTACAAGAAATAAAATATTTCTCTACAAGCAATAAAATATTCCTCTACAAGGAATTAAGATCAGACTCATAAAAATATAACTCGGGGTAACAAACTAATGATACGATAAAAGTTTCTAAATCTACGAAAAAGAATAATTTGAAAAACTCCAAAATTGATTTTTATATTATATATAAGATATCAAAAATAAAATTATGCCTTAGATTTTTTGGAAAAAGTAAAATTCAATCTGGAAGAAAATACATTTTTTTTTAAATTAATTTTCAAGAAATGCCAAAATAAAATTAAAAATTGGCAAAAAAAATTTTAACTGAAATAGAAATTAATTTTTCTTCGAAAATTAGTTCTTTAAAAAAGAAGATCTGGGAAAAAAATTATGTATATTTACAAAATTATTACATTAAATTAAATTAATAAAAATTAAATAAGGAAAAAATAAAGATATAATAGGTTTGAAGAAGGATTAATTTTGATTAGGTTTAATTTTTTGAGATAAGAAGTAATTATGTTAATTAAAAATTAATTAATATGTAATTTTTTGTGAACCCCTTTAATTAAAATGAAACATCGGCCTGGCGCATGTCTTGTTTTTGGTGCACTCGTAGTGATCATTGCAATCATCGCACCCTGTATGCTTCAAGTGAACTATAAACTTTGTTATCGTTCGTATATAATAGTAGTAAATCACAGTGATTGTCATGTCATACGTTTGCCGTTGCACCCAAAATAGCATGCGCCAGTCCGGGTGCTCCATATTTCAAACTATATCGTCATAATTTCCTATTTTCACATATATTTATATTTTATATATTGTAAATTATATAATTTTTTATAATTTATATCATATATTATATAATATATATTATATACTATATAATAAATATTATAGATTATATTTTATATATTAAAAATTGTATATTATACATTGTATATTATACATTCACAAGTAACACGTAAATATTACCCTAATATTACTGTAATATTGGGGTAATATTGTTATTGCAATGAAATATTGAGAGTCATTTTGTTTGATGAAAAAAACCATGCTACTGGGGATCGAACTCCGAACCTAACGCACAAGAGTCGAGAGTCTGAACCAACAAACCAATCTGACTTGTAGTAATTTTAATATTTATACATATCTTCTTAATAATCTAAATCTTAAAAAATTCAGGTTAGTTCGTTGCTTAACACTTTCATCTCGTGTGCAAAAGGTTCAGAGTTCGATTCCCTGTAGAGTAATATTACTGTAATCTCCTGTTACTGTAATGTTACTGCAATATTACAGTTTTATATTACGAATCTTCCACGTAATGTTACTATAATGTTTCAGCATAATATTACAGTGATGTTAAGGTAATATTACGTGCTACTTGGATTATATATTATATATAACATATCATATACATATGCAATAATTCTCATCAATTTCGAATCTTTCAAAAAACTCTGAGGCATATCTTACATCATTTTTTAATGTATTCATACATCTAATGACAGTAGAAGAAAGATTCAATTGATGCAATATATTATGACTTATATTATCATTATCATCACCATTTCGCATCTGTCGCAGCTCAGATCATCGCTTTCTGGTCTGTCGTTCACTCGCGATCACTCTTTTCGCGCTCTCTTTAACTCTCTATCTACATATATATATATACATATAAAAATCCACTTTATTACCTTTTCGTCCTTTTTATTATCTCAATATATCCTTTTTAGTTTGTCATTAAATTCCCCTTTTTATTTCACTATTACTTTCAACTCACTGACATTTTTTATTTTATTGTCATCCTTTTCTCCTTGAGATCGTTCCCCCCCACCTCTCACCCTAAGAATACTTTAATGTCTCATTATTTTGTTTGGCTTCCATATCTCAATGTTCTTTCCATTTTTACCTTTGGTTTCTTCTTCTTTTTCTTAATTATTGAGAAAAATTTATTATTTCTTCTTAAAAGTTCTTATTTAACGAAATTTAATATTTTTAATAATATCAGCAAAGTTTTTTTTTAAATCAGAACTTTAATTAAGAAAGGGGGTCTTAGTTTAAGAACATGATTCTTAATTTAAGTGCCATATCTTAAAGCCAGGGAGTGAGTCTTAATTTATTTTTTTATTTTCTTTTCTTTTTTTAAGTAATAGTATTTTTAACGAGAGTAAATATTTATTTAATTTAAATCCAAATGAAGTCTTAAAGTAAGAAAGAATTTACTGAAATTATGTGTCATAATGTTCTAATCCTTTCCATTTTTTCTCTTACTCTTTTTATAATCAATTATTATAATTTTTTTTTAAATTTCTCTTTTATCTTCCCTCGATTATTTCTCGCAGTTCTCAAAACTTTAATCATATCATTCACCTTTTTTCAAAAAAAATTTTTTTTGACCGACTTGACTCGACTATCGTAACATCCACTTTGTGTCTGATCCATATTATATATGTATATTTGTCTGTATCTGTATTTGTCCGAATTTCATTTTTTTTCTTTTTTTTACTATTTAGAAAAAACAAAATGCAAGTCTATTTTCCCTTTTTTCACGCAAAGTCCTTCATCACCCAGTTGCAGCACTGAACTTTCAAAACATTGAGCATGCAATTTTCCGCCCCACGAGGCATGATGCATGTGAGCATATAATAATATAAATGGAAGCTTTCTCTTTTGACTATATTTTGCTCTCACTTCTCTATATATATTTTTTTCGTTCAGTCACTAATCTGGTAAGAAAGGTAAAATTACAAATTTCTCTCATTGTATCCATATATCACAAATAATAAAATTACTCACATTTTATAATATAATGAGAATTATATCATTGATATTTGTAATTTTTCCAATTTTTTCAAAAAAAAAAATTAAAGATGGACGTTTATTTGGTTTATCTAAAAGTTTTCCTTTATTTATTATTCAATAACTGATTGTTACTTCACTATTAATTTGACGTATAATTATAATTGAATTTGAAAAAATTCAATTTAATTGAAGAATTAATTAATTTCATATCTTTATTTCAATTAATTAAATTAATATTGTATATAATTATTATATTATAAAAACTGGTATCTGGTATTTTCTTTCTTAATTTTGTATTTTATAATTTTTTACCCCCTCTTTTTTCTACTTCTTGCATTTCTTGTTATACTGTTCCCCCTAAGCAAATCCGAAATGCATTGCTTTTTTGGAGACACGAAATTTAAATACAGAGGAAACTCTCTAACTGTATTATCGATAAATATGAGAATTAAATAAATAAACTAAATTTTCAAATATATACTTTTACTGAAGTTAAGTAATATTGGTAGTACAATTGTGTATCACAGAGAAATTTATTAACAGTGAATTTTTTTCCATAGAAATTTATTGTCTTCAACTTTTTGTGCGAAATTTATTTTTCTTTGATAAAAAGTATTATTTTCATTTTTTTACACTATGAAACTTCTTTTCTGTAACTAAACCAATTTACTCCAACTAAATTTACTTTCTTCAAGTTTTATTTTCTATATATATAAATAGTATCTTTAAAAAACTTTTCATTGTTTGAAAATTCATTGTTTTTTAGAAAAGCTCTTTTTCCAACAAAATTAATTATTTTTAAAAGATATTTAATAATTAATATAGAAAGAATTTTTCTTTAAAAAAAATTGGAGAGTTTCGACTGTATATATAATAATTAATTTAAAATAAAATATATCTTCTTTTTTTTGCTTTTATGGCTTCTTATCAAAATAAAATTACCAAACACTGAAGAAATCTTTGAAATGCTTGAATTTGTTAATAAAAAAAAAAAAATTGCTAAAATGTACGTGCTATAGAAAAGATGAAAAAAAATGAATGATATAAAAATTTATGCTAAGCCAAATATAACGACTTTCTTGCTTACACTATATAAATACATATAGCCGATAAGATCAACATAATATTTAAGCTTAGAATAAGCTAGAGCTAAGATTAAAGGTAGCAAAATGTTACTTCCTGCTCCGATTACTTCCGTCACTGAATTCACACAAAATTCTTTGAGAAATAACCCAAAAAAGATAAGAGAAAATTTTAAATATTAATTTTATTTGCAATATGATTGAAAAGGAGAGAGAGAGAGTGAGAAAGAGGTAAAAAAGCTGAGTCTCAAACGAAACGTAACGCAAGTCAAATTTAAATCAATTCCAAGTAGAATATTTCAGAGTTGAGAAAATTTCTTAAAATATTTTTTCAAAGTAATAAAATTTACATTTTAGTAAAGTTTACTTTTTAAGTATTTTAGAAAAAAAATATTTAATTTTCCCATTTTGTTATTTTTTTCAAAATATATTAAAGAACTGCAAAAATAATTTCATTGAAAAATTAAACAGAAAACTAAAATTTTACTTTTAGATCAAAAATGAATTTAAAAAAATTAAAAACCTTTTTTTCAAAAGGAAAAGAAAGTATTTTTTTGCAATCGGGGGTGGGAAAGAGAATCAAAAAGTGTGAAATTTTGTCGGAAGAAACTCGGAACCAGGGGGGCCCCCCATATAATGAGCGAAGCATATTAAATGTGGTGCCCGATATTTTAGCTTTCTGAGGAGGTAAGGATATCTCATCCACTGATGCACTTCCGAGTCTCTACCTTTCCTTCGTTTTCCTCTACGTTACGTAACGAAGTCTGTTGTTATGGTAGTGCCTCTGGAGAATCGTAATTACAAAAAAAAAACAAAAAAAAAATTTTTTTTTACAAAAGTTTGACGTTTTAGTAGTTTATTGATGAATTGTTCTATATAAATATTATAATTAATGCTACCTTTATTACTACTGATAATTACAATTTTACAGAGTAACGTTATCTGTACGTATGTAGATAGACGGTAGATCGCGTAAATTTCTTGAATTTATCTTCGGACATTCAAGACGTATTGATTAATTAATTCAAAATGATTTTTTAAACAATTCTTTGTCAATAAATATATTTTTCTTTAAAACTTATTTTGCTTGACGACAGATTTTATAATTTATATTGTTCATATATTGTAATTATTTAATTATAATTATAATTTTTTTTGCTTCATTGTCGATTTTGAGCCAAGAGCAATTTGCTTCAAGACTGACTTTAAATTTAAAATTAAAAATTTTTTTTAACTGTTGAAAAATTGAGTTTGAAGATAAATTTTAGGCGAGGACAATAATTGAAAAAAAGGATCCTCGATTTCAATAATTATATCTGTGTGTGGTGGACGATCGACGAAATTTTGAGAACGACATTCGAGAAAGTTCGTGATCTGGTAGCGTCGGTCCAAAATTGGAAGCACGTACAATTATATAAACATCTCTCCTCGATAATTAATTATAATTATTACCTATTTTTTTCAACAAAAAAAATTTAATTCTTGAGAAGAAAAGTTATATAATGTGCTTTCTAATTCTAGATGTTTTATATATATATAGTTTAGATCTAGTTTGTACACAAACCTCGCTTTTTTGCGATGCAACATCTCAAAAAAAAAAAAATTTTTTTTTTAGAGGCATGATTTTTTTTGTATAGGCAAAAAGAAACTAGGAAATGAAAGAAATAGAAATTTTGTATTCCTTTTTTTGGTTTCACTTTGTCCTTGAGAATTTGCATCGGACCCACACATATACACACACACGCTTCCAAAACAAATAATGATATTAGATCGAACAGAAATAAAATATGTAGGGTACAAGAGAGACACTCTCCTTTTAAAATCCTGACACTATTTTGAACATATTTTTTATAAATATGACACCAATTGTTTTTCTACATAAGCAAAAACACGTATTTATATTATATAATTATACCTATAATTACCAACTACCCTATCTATCTACCTGCAATACAGAAACACTGTTGTTTCGATGGTCTGTCGCTGCATGCTGCGATCCCCTGCCCGAGTATGCGGACCTTGCATATAATATTTTATTTTACTATTCAAAAATTATTTCTAATATTTAAAATCGTTTTTTCTTTTCAATTCTGACTTGATTCTATTCAAATATAATTCTATTCAATTCTGATTCAATTCTGATTTAATGGTAAGTTTTATGCAACTTTTTGGTATGATTCAATTAACATTAACAGTCTGACTAAAACTGATTTGTACTACTGTTATAATTACAAGAATTCTGTAAACTTTGCCTAACTAAAACTGACTTTTACTACTGAGATTAAATGTAAATAAAGAATATGTCTTGTCTGAGTAAACTTTGCTTTTACTACTGAGGTTTATATAAAATAGTTTATTCTTTGTTTGACTGGAACTCACTTGCACTACTGAAACAAAAATTACAATTTCAACGTTTTGCATAGTAAAAACTTTCGTTTACTACTTTAATGCAATTTTTAAAAAAATTAGCCGTCTGACTAAAATTCGCTTAAACTACTACTGTCTGATCGAAATTTACCTGTACTACTGGGATTTACATGACAAGAATTCACCAAATTATGTCCGACCGAAACTTTCCTATACTACTGCAACAATTATTAAAATAGTACACCAGTCTAACTAGAATATACTTGTTCTACTGATTTTTAATTTCAAAATTTCGGAACATTCTCTGTCTGACTGATACTCAGTTTTTCTACTAATATAAAAATAGTACTAATTCCACCATTATTATTATTTTTTTTTTTTGAATCAATTTGAATCAGTTGCAAAGTTTCAATTAAATTAACAAATTTTTCAAAAACCCAATTAAACTTTCAATTTTAAATTAGAATAATAAGAAAAAGAATGAATTATTATTTGAAGAGATGATGTGTCAGATATAAATGAGAAAAAAAAATTTTCGGCAAAAATAAAGAATATTTTGTTTGTTTTGGGAGGAAAAAATTTGTTTGTTTTATTTAATTGAGGGATTGAAGGGGAAAAAAAATAAATGAGTCGCTAGATTGTCGACATACTCGGGCTAGGTGAAAAGAAGACCACGAGCTCTTTACTGTCCCTCGGCTGCCGGAACAAGAGACTGATTTTTCCTGGACGGCGGCTCTTTTTCGCAGCTTGATGAACTTAGAACAGAAGTGCAGCGTCGGGACCAGGAACTTTTAGGGATGTCTGCCAAAATGAGGACCTTGGAGGAACAACATCAGGACTATCAGAGACACATAGCCGTCCTTAAAGAATCTCTTTGTGCTAAGGAGGAACATTACAATATGCTCCAGGCGGATGTAAGATATAAGCAACATTTTTTTTATTTCAAAAAATTATAATTTTATCTTTTATAAAATTAGTTTACAACTTCAAGAAAATGTTGCAAAATTTTTATTAATAGAAAACTTATGTCAAATTTATTTCAGAAAATAAGTTTTAGTTTTTTTAGAAGAAGTAATTTTCAAAAAATTAATAAAAAAATTAAAACTAAAAATTTTGAAATCTAAATTAATATATAAATTATTATAAATTTTTTTCTCTAGGTGGAAGAAATGAGACAACGACTAGAGGAAAAAAATCGTCTAATCGAGAAGAAAACACAGCAGGCAATGCAAGCGCAACAAGAGAGAAATCGTTTCAACACAGAATTAACTGAACTCAAGGATCACATGGATATCAAGGATCGTAAAATTAACGTTCTTCAACGCAAGGTGAGTTTATTTTTTAAATTTACAATATTTATTTACCCGCATGAGATAAATGAAAAATAAAAAGGATTTTAAATTAATCCTTCTTTTTTTCTTCTATAATTTTTATTATCTTTTATTTTTTTTTTAAATTTCTCTTTACATCTGATTCTTTTCTTCTTTATACAAAAATTGAATGTGATTTTATTTTGTTTGTTGTTGAATTTCTCAATTCTTTATAAATGCTTTTTTCCACTATAAACAATATACATACAATGGGCATTCAGATTTTTTTACGCTTCTTTTATCACCATTATTTTTTCCTATATATACATACCCCCATTGAAATATAGAAACAATATAATTGGACGATAACAAAAACTGGAAAATTATTATATTTTAGTCCAGAGTTATTTTATATGCTGTATATATTTTTGTGATATAGTTTAATTTTAGTGCTTGGTATAATGATAAATTTCTTAAATAAATAAATAAAATGGAAAAATATTGTTGTATATTTTTTTACATTTTGTAAGCAACTTTTAAGTAGGTATAGTTGCGATAAAAGAATATATGACAAATGATGTCAGTATTTTCTCATTAATGAGATAAATATTTCATTCGATGAGATATTTAATATTTAACTTAACGAAATCTTTTTAAAGACTCTCTTCAACTTAATAAGCACTTAGAAAAGATTACAATTTTGATAACCACTCTTATGTTTATATATAAGGTTTATCTCCGTCTAATTCTAAGTTTATAATTTAAGTTTATTATTTACAAGAATAAACTTATTATTTATAATTTATTAGGCTTATTTTATAATTCATAGTTTATAATTTTAGCGATGTATGTGTATAATTTATTTATTATATTTGCATTATATATATTATATATTTATTATATTATTATATTTTGTATAATTTCCTAGATTATTAAGATATGTATGTATATTATTTTTACCTGTATTTATGCTTAATGAATGTTTATTATAATTGTGCCATTTATTTAGCATAGATATTTTTAAAAAATGATTTATTTTTTAGTAATTTATTTGTAAATTGTATTTTAGTTTTTAAAATTAGTTTTAAGTTTCCTCAGTTGTTCTCGTTACTTAGGTAACTATATTCTTTTTTTAATAATATTTCATTATATTTTATTATGTTTTATATATTTTATTATTTTCTATTATATTCTATTATATTTCATTATACTATACTCCCGCAATTGTAAAATTTTTCATCTACAAAAATAATTAAAATATTTTTACTCTCTTCTATTTTTAAAATACATTGTAAATTATTTCATTGTTGAAATCTTATAATAAATTTTTCCCCGTTTTGCAATATATATTTATAATTTTATCCACAATTCCCGTTTTTATCTTAATTCAATTTCATTTATATTACATTGAATTTTTTAATATTTCTAATTTTTAAATTTAATCGAAACACACTGAAATAACTTTTAAAGTATAATTAAAGTTAAAAACTGGAAAATAATACGTTAAGAGTGATTTAGAAAAAAAAGATATCAATAATAAAGAATTATTAAAAAAACAAGTAAGTATGTGTAGTTTAAATTTTAATTCAGCTCTTTTTTCTCTCTTTTTAAAGAGCATTTTAAAAAATTTTCCGCTTTTTTAATCCAAAAAAAACTAATTCGTCGTTAATTTCCACTTCTTTTTTTTTAACAACAAGCTTGTAATTAACACTAAATAAAATTGGACCAATTTAAGAGTAATTCAAAACTCTCTATTCGTTCTGGACAATTTCATTTTATGGTAACATGTTATAGTCACGTTTAATTCATTACTAAATATACTAACAACATTTTCAAATTTAACCGCATAAAGAGCTTTTTAATGAGAAAAATAATTTTTTAATTTAAAAAAATCACTTTTTAAAAAAAAATTCATTTTTATTTCTTTCAAAAAACGAACAGAAATATAAATATTTTCTCTGTGTGAAAAAAAAACTAACAAAAAATTTTTTTTATGATCAATTTTTTTGGACAATAATTTTTATAATAAATTTTTTTTTTTTTTAATGATTCAATAGATTGAGAATTTGGAAGATTTACTAAAAGAAAAGGACAATCAAGTGGACATGGCACGAGCACGTTTGACGGCAATGCAAGCGCATCATTGCAGTAGTGAAGGTGCATTAAGTAGTCTCGAAGAAGCAATTGGTGACAAAGAAAAGCAAATGGCTCAATTGCGAGAACAGAGAGATCGCGCTGAACAAGAGAAACAAGAGGAACGAGAACTCCATGAACGTGAAATTGCCGAGTATAAAATGAAAATCCACGCTCTTGAATCAGAGGCTCGTATATACATAGATATATATAATAATAATAATAATTTCAAAACTAATTCAATTTATACTGGTGCAAAATGAATTCCAAAACTTTCCTTAGTCTCAAATTAATTCAGTATCTATCTCTCTTCGTTGCATAAAGTGAACAAACATTTCTCAAAAACTTTATATCTAAAGTTTCTCACGAACAAAATATTTGTCCACTTCATTTTTTTCCCATCATTTATTCTATTTTTATTTTATTTAATAAGTTAATATTTTTATAATATTATAAAAAAAAATTTTGTTATATTAATTTATGTACCTACCAAAATTATTTTTTTTTATGAAATATTTTTTTTATATTTTTTATAAAAATTTTTGTTTATATTTTTCCTTTTATTCAAGTCAATAGTTATAAAAATAATATGAGAAAATATTTTCATTTTCTTTTTTCTGGAGGTATAGCGCGTCTGTATCAAGACAATCAATTATTTATTAAAATCCAGTAGCTTGAGTTTGAATACCTCATATAAACTAAGATCACTTTTTTTTCCTAAGAATAAACTGAATATCATACCCGTGTCAAGATATATTAGTAAATGCTCTTCTTGAATATTTTATTATTGACCCATTTTTTTAAAAGATGCAACAAAAAAAAGTATCCTTTTTAAAGTACACAGTCGAGAAGAGCTGCGAGAGATACTGAAATTAGATTTGAATTCAACTGATTTTATAAATAAAAGAATTTTTTCATCTACGTTACAAGATTACAAAAAGTCAAGTTACTCTTTTAATATGCATAGATTCAACAATGTTTATTAATTTTTTGACACATTTCATGAAAATTAAAGACATTAAATTTATTTCGAGAAAATATTGAAAATTTACTTAAATACAAATTTTTAACAAGAAAACTAAATTTAAATATATAAATTAAAAATGTAGTAAAAACTGTTTAAGTGAGACGCTTCGTTTTCCATATTTTCGTGTTGCAATTTTATGAAAGTTTCCAAAACACATTCTCAGAAATATTCCAACTGTAGAGACCAGGTCCAACTTAATCAGGTTTGACTGCATAAGAAAAAATCGTTAATTTAATAACTAGTAAATTCAATCATTCGAATTGGTATTCACCTTCAATTTGTGGTTTTAATTAATTAATTACTAATTCATTTTTAATTCATAAACTATTGATTTCGAGTAATGTTGTGAATAATTAAAATGTAATTTGATATAATTGTGAAAAGAAAAAAAAAATTTTGCTGATCAGGTGGAGAAACTTGGTGCTCGTTTAGAGAGAGCTTTAGCAGAGAAGGATCGTCTCGAGGCAAAATTAGAAAGTTCACAATCTGAATTGGGTAAAAGTAAAGCTGAGCTTGATAAGGCAGCATCTGAAGTTGGACGCAGCGGTGCAGATTGGGAGGCTGCCAAACAAAAATTGACAAGACTGGAGCTTGAGAATGAAAGGCTGAGGCATGACATCGACAGGTCACAGTCCAGTTTTGGCAGAAATACAATCAACTCCTCGCAGGAAATGGATAGAGTTCAAGAGCGTGCTGAAAAAGCGTCCACTGATCTCAGAAGAGCTCAGGCTGAACTCAGAGTCACTCAGGCCGATAATGAGAGGGCCAGATCTGAAGCTGCTGCTCTTCAAGAGAAGGTGATTTTCTATAGATTATTTTTATTCACCTGTTACTTAATTAATAATTTTTTAATTTATTTACTATTTCGAGATTGCTAATTACGAATCATTATAATGTAATTTCTCTTTTTTCTCTCAATTAGGTGGAGAAGAGTCAAGGTGAAGTCTATCGACTCAAGGCAAGACTGGAGAATGCCCAGACTGAACAAGAAAGCCTTCGCGACGAGTACGACCGGGCACAGGCAACTGTAGCTCGGTTGCACTCCGAGCGTGATAAGGCTGTGGGTGAGCTTGAAAAAGCTCAGGAAGAACTTGAGCGGACTCAAGCTACCCTGGGCAAAGCTCAACTTCAACAAGATAAAATACAAAATCTCCTTGACAAAACTCAAAGCGAAGTTGACAAACTCCAAGAGAAATTGGACAAGTCCCAAACGGAAATTCGAAGGGTAAGAAAATGTCTTCTTTTACTTGTTAAAAATAATGGAAAATAAGAATTTTATTATCAAAAAGAAATAAAAAAAAATGTTTTCTCAGATGCAAATGGAGAGAGAAAAACAAAACTATGACTTTGAGAATGTTCAAAGTCAGTTGGATAAATCTCTTGGTCAGGCAACGCGAATGCAAAAAGAACGAGAAACAATTCAATTGGAAGTTGAACGTCTTCAGGATAAATACGAAAAAGCTCAGGTATTGATTATTTTTAAAAATAAACATTAAAATACATTAATAAATTACAAACAATACATTTTTTCACAATTTTTCAAGAAATGGAAAGGAAAAAAGATTTAGATTTTATATTTTTTAGAGTGCTTTTTTCCAGTCTTAGAAAGTAGGATTTACAACAAAAAAAAATGATAAAAAATAAATTAAATTCTTATGAAAATCTGTAAGAAGATGATAGATTTTCAAGCGATACTTGCGCTAAACGAGAGTTAACATTTATATCTATATGGGTTTATCGTACATAAAATATTTTTCACGGCAGATTATTATGCAACGACTACAAAAGGAGCGAGATAACTTCCAAGAGGAAATGGAAAAACTGCATGAACGACTGGAATTCCAACAAAGCCAGACTGCAAAATTGCAGCGGGATAAGGAAAATGCTTTGTCGGAGCTAGAGTTAGTGAAAGACCGATGGGAAAAGACTCATACATCTCATCAAAAAATATGCGTATGTAATGAAGCATCAAATGTTGAAAGATAAAAAAGTTGAAAACACTATTTAGTTACTCCACTTGTAATTTCTGTTACTATTAAACATTTTTTTTTATTTTTATATCTAAAATTTTAGTAATCCGTTTCTAGACTTCATTCACTAAGATTTTTATAATAATAATTATTATTATAGTAAAGTTGTTTTTACAAAACATCTTTTTCTTTTTTAAGTATAGCTTGAAAGTACTTTTGATTGTTTAATTGATATTTTTAAATAAATTAACTTAGAAAATAAAGAATTTTCCTTGTTCTATTGTAAAATGTAAAACTATAATGCAATTGATTTCTATTCGCAGCTTGAAAGAGACGATGCTTTAACGGAAATTGAAATCTTGAAAGACAAGATGGAGAAAATTCAGTATTCTCTGAACAAAGCTCACGAGGAACGAGAAAGCAGCAATAAAGAATGTGAAAAATTAATGGAGAAATATGACAGGCAAGTATTTAATTTGTTTTTCTTTATTATTATTTACAGTTAATGTTTTGATAATTTTTCAATGAAATCTTACGTTAAATTGCTTAATGTGATTTTTATAAAATAAGTTTTTACTTTCTTAGTTGAAAAAACACAGACTTATTTAATTATTAATTTTCTAATATAAAAATAAAATTAGCTTAATGAAGATGAAAAAATGAAATTTGTTTGTAGATCGCAGAGTGAGTCGTACCGACTGCAAAATCGAATCGACGTTCTCGAAGCGGACAAGGATCGTTTGGAATTGGAAGCGGAGAAACAACAGATGCTGGGTTCAAAGAGCAGAGAAGAGGCGCGTAAGGCGCAAGAGGAATTGGCACGCATTCAGGAGATGTACGACAGAGCAGCACTTCAACTTGGCAGAACCAAGGAACATGAGGAGAAATCCAAGGAGGATCTCGATCGTTTGACAGTTGATTTAGAAATGGTTCGCGAGAGGTACGAGAAATCGCAAATTGAGATGCGTCGTTTGCAAAATGAGCGTGAGAAACTTGTCGCTGACAACGAGAGGATAAGCTTTGAGCTTGAGCGAGCACAATCGCAATTGCACAAGGCTCAGGCGGCCACTGAGAAGACACAAGAGGAACTCGCACGGATGCAACTTGAATTGGAGAAAATGTACGAGAAACACGATCGACAACAGGCGGAAGTTCGTAAGGCGCAAGCTGAGGCTGAGAGATTACGAGCTGATGCCGAGAGTTCACGTGACGAGAGCGAGAGGTACGCGGCACGTTTTGGAAAATATCAGGAGAACACCGAACGTCAGAAGGACGAGTACGAGCGAGCGAAGCTGGATAATGAGAGGCTGCGAGATCGGCTTGAGAAGACAGTGGCGGAGCTCGATAGAGCGCGAAAGGCAGAGCAGGAAGCCTCAAGATTGCGAGCCGATTTGGAAAGGGAGCAAGGCGTTCGAGGTAAATACCAATACGAGCATGAGAAGTGGCAGAGCGAGGGTGGTAAACTCCAGCAGGATCTGGAAAGGACCAAGGAGCGTCTGGAAGCGCGTGATAACGAGCTCAAACGATCGCAGTCGACAATTGCTGATCTCGAGACGAAATTGCACGAGTCACAATTGCAGCTCGATAGATGCCGTGAGGAGGCAAATAAAGTGCGTCAAGCGGAGGAAAAGAATCGTGCCGAAATCGAACGTGCTAGAATTGAGGCCGAGAAGATCAAGGATCGCTATGATAAGATGAAGGTACGAGCTGACGCACTCGAGGCCGATAATGAGAAACTTCGAGTTGAGATCGTCCGTTTGGAGAGGCTTATGCAAACCGAGGGGAAAACAAGATCAGAGAGTGCAAGTATCGAGGTGGAGAGGCTGAGGGCGAGTCTCGATAAGGCCATCACCGCTAGGGATCAAGTCGAGCTTGAGGCTGGTCGTCTTGCTAAAGAATTGGAGAAATCACAAATGCATATCAAGAAATTCCAGGAGGCAGGTGAAGTCGCCAAGAAGGAACTCGAGAGATTGAACAGTGAAGTGAATCTTTCGCGAGAGGAGAGAGATGCCCTGAGACAGGAGTTGAGGAAAAGTCAGCAACATCATCAAATGGCTGGCAATGAGGAGATTGCACGTCTTCAGCATGATCTTCAGCTGGCGCAGAGGGATCGCGACAAACTCGCGGCAATTCACGAAAATCGTGAGAAACACGCCGAGAAGGTTGAAAAAGCTAAAGAGAAATTGGAAGCCGAAGCAAAACAGTTGCAGGTCGAGAGGGATCAATTAGTCATTCAATTGGAGAAGTCCCAAGATATGTTGATGAATTTCCGGCAGGAATTAAACACGAGCGAGGCCGAGGGTGAGAAACAACGGGAGGAGGTGATCAGACTTCAGCAACAGGTTCAGCAATTGCAGCAGCTGCAGCAGAGAGCGCAATCACAAACTCCGGATCGAGCTGCACAGGAGGCGATGGAGGCTCAACTTCGTGAGGTTCATCGTCTAACACAGCAGGTTCAGACTCTCACCCAAAATCAGAATAAGGAGAGGCAACGCGCCGAAATGGCAGAGAAGACTATACAGGAGCTTCAGAAGCAACTCGCTGCCGCAGCATCGGGAACTCCTGCGTCCAAGGAGCAAATTGAACAATGGCGGAAGATGTGCGAGACAGAAAAGCAGAGGGCTGACACTGCTGAGAAGAGGGTGCAGACAATGGAGAGGCAGTTACACGCTCATCAACAACAAATTCAACAGATGCAGGCGAATCTTCATCAGAATCAAAATCAACAAAATGGATCTGAAGCTGCGAGATTGCGAAAGGAATTGGATCGTGCGCGAGAGGAAGTTCAGCAAGCGACAGTTGAACGTGAACGATTCCAGGCACAAATTGAGATGTTGTGTCAGGAGCTGCAGAAAAATCAGGTTAGCAGGCCACTCTCGTCCTTGATGTCCTGCGAAGATGCTGTTACCAAATTAGAGCTCAATGATTGCCCAGCACGCTCACATTATATAATTAAATTGATGCACCAATTTTTTACGCACCTCTCACTTCGCCACTTTTTTACTTTCGTCAAACAAGAGATCATCTATTCGAATATATTATCATCTTATCATTATTTTTCTGCATAATCGACGTCTTTATTATTTTTACGCAATTCATTTATTTATCTGTCATGATTGTTCGTCGAATCTTGATGTTGTTACAGTTTAGCTTTCACTGTAATTCAAGTCTTGCAAAGGAAAGTGTTCTGCTTTAACTTTCATGTTTTTATTTTCTTTATAATTTTAATTTTCTTTAACTGAGACCTAGCAGTGAATGGATTCGACTTGCCTGAAAAATAAGTCAATACAATTTTTAATTTAAACTCAATTATAATTACAATTATAAAAAATAATTTAATAATTATAAATTCAAATTATGTAATTAAATAACTTTTTATTCAAAAAATTATTTTACACGTAAAATTATTTCTACAAAAATTTTTTTTTTAAATGAATAGCAGTCTCTGTAAGAAACGTTTTCATCATAAATCAAAGAGGATTTTATCGGAACTTTTATATTCATCGAAGATTTTGTAACCGTCTAAGAATTATAAATAGAGTCTGTCGACAATTTTCATGAAAATTTCATATCCCTCCCTCCGTTTATGAAAGTTATATTGGGATCACTGTTTCTTGCAAGACTTTAAATTGTCAGTGTCAGAATGTCACGCGTGAAACATTATTTTGTATTATCGATTTACTGCATCAAGACCCCCACGAAAGCATGCACTGCTTCAGTGCACCTGCGTCGTGCCTTAGATTCTATTAAACATATATAACTATATTTGTATCGTTATATCGCTTATGGTTTATTTTGTATTTCACAAATATATCACTCAAATAGGCATCATTACATGTATATATATATTTTATGAATAGTAACATGCAATGTATTTTTTATTATTACTTTGTAAATTCAAAATTGCATTATAGCTTAAAATAATGCATCATTTTTACTGTTTGCATGTTTTTTCTTACTTTCTTCATTTCAACTATATTCATTTTTCTTTTGAAAATTCATTGGAAAAAATATAGAGAAAGTTTGGTGACTTCAAAAGAGATTTGAATGATAATTGTCTATTTTGTTTAATTTCTAATGAAGTTGTGTAATTTTGTTTTCATTGATGATTTTCTGGTTTAGGTGGATCTTCACGAAGCAAACAAGAAACTTCAAGCATCACCCGCGAAAGCTGGCGGCGATACTAATCAGCAACAAAAGCAATTGGAGGATCAGAAACGTCAAGTGGAAGAACAAAAGAAGCACATGGATGAGAAAGCAAGAATGGTCGATCAAAAAGCAAGAACGATAGAAGAAAAAGAGAGATCTCTTCAGAATCTCGATCAGGAATTAAAGAAACGAAAGGCCAAAATGGACCAACTTGAACAACAGTTGCAAAAGGCAATTTTAAAATTTTCTTTCCTTTTTTCCCTTTAGAAGAATGATAATCTTTTAATTCTTTTAATTAAATTATTACCTCCTTATTAGGGAAATTATATATTTCAAATTTATTACAGAGCGGAGGTTCACCAGACAAAAGAATGGTGGAATTGCAAAGAACATTGGAAAATGCAGAAAAAGACTTGGAAAAGGCGAGAGAAGAAGCCGGAAGAAGTTCTGCAGAAACGGAGAGATTATTGCAATTGATGCAAATGACTCAAGAGGAGCAGAACGCAAAGGAGAAACAAATTAGAGATCTTCAAGAGTGAGTGTTTTTGAAAATTAAATAAAACTTAATTTCATCCAAGTAAAATTATCCCATAAATTGAATTATAAATGAATGCAACCCATTAATTATAAGAACTAATTAAATCTCTGCCTTATTTAGAGCACTGAAAGCTGCACAAGCCAAATTAAAAGCGACAGCCGCTCAGCAACAAGAGGTCAGTGAAAGATTTTCAGAAATAATTAATTTTCTTTTTTTGACAATTCACTAACTCTTCTCTTTTCAATTTTTCACGCTTCTCCCTGGATACTCAACAATGCGCAATCGTAAATAAAAACTATCTTTACTAAAAATTACTTGCAAATTACTAATTTTAATAATCTAACTTACAAATTGCTACTAATTCAACAAATTCTGTGTTAATGAATGGAAATAAATAGGCTGGACCTGCCGGATTCTTAAAAAGCTTCTTCTAAGGTCCATTTTGGTTGGAGACTATTTCTCCTTTAATTTCAGTACAATTTGCATATTTAAGCGAGATTATAACGTATATATAACGAACAACTGATTGACACAATAATTATTTTACGTGATTGCTACATTGACCATTATTGACCGTACTTAAACGATAGAATTAACCAAGTTTTAACGTAAAAAAAAGAAAAATAACGACAACAATAATATTAACTACTACCGGATTAATATGTATATACGTGTGTAGATAAAATATATCGAAAAAAATGTTTAAAAAAAATTGAAGAAGCAGTTCAAGTAGGTCGTAAAAAGACCCAAAGGACACGTATACGTTCGTATCCATTCAAAGACACTCTCTGTGACATGTTTGCCTTGTCAGAAGTATAAATCTCCTCTTTGAGTCTTTTTTTAAAAAATATTTTTATTATTCAATTGCTTCTTTTATTTTGTGACAAACTGCTGACTTAGACCCCATACGCGAGGAATCTTCTTGACCAATCGGGATCCAGTGATGGAAAATCGGATGGACGAGAAACCTGGAAGCGTGATATTGAAACGAAAAATCGCAAAATTCTTCAACTTGAACGCGACATGACGCTGATGAAGAAATTACTTAAAAGACATTCTAATCCAGAAGGAATTCAAGAATTTGCCCTTGAACTTGATAAGAGGAAGTTCAGGATTGAGGAACTTGAAGATACTGTTGCTGAATTTCAGGATTTTCTCAAACACAATCCCGATGTGAAAGAACTTCATGATCTCAGGTGTGAATTGGCTGACAAGAGTCAAAGAATTCAAGAACTTGAGGATTGGATTCGAATGAATGGCGAGAGAGAAATAAAAATTGAACGCGAAAGAATTATGGAATTGGAGGAGATGGTGACGCATTTAGAAGATTATGTCAAGGAGCATAATGTTGATGTAATCAAACAAAAATTGAAAGATCGAGAAGATAGAATGGATCAATTACAAAAAAGAATAGACTTTCTTGAGAAGGAATCTATGAGAAATGAGAGAATCAAAATTCGTGATTATCAAGATTGTGGTACAATGATTGATAGAGATTTTCAATTTGATGATAGAAAATTGTTGGAAAGAGATCAAAATTTAATGGAAAGGGAGAAAATGATAAAGCAAAAAGATCAAAAACTATTGGAAAGAGAGCAAATGATTGTGGAGAAGGATCAAAAGTTGAAGGAGAGGGAGCAAAAAATGAAGGAAATGGAACACGCATTGTCGGAGAAAGACAACAAGATACAAGAATACGAACAGCAGGTGATTGAGTGGCAGGACAGACTGAATAAACTCAAAAAGGAAATGAATAAACTGGAAAAGGAATTAGAGGAATATGAGGCTGAAGATATAGGAGTTTTGAAGGAAGAGATCAAAGTAAGGGATGAGAAAGTGGCACAGTTGGAGGAAGAAATTGATTCACTGGAAAGAGCCTTTAATGAAAGAATTGATCTCGAGCAGATCGAAGCTCTCGTGGGTCTTGTCAAGGAAAAGGAGGAACGAGAAAAGGAATTGGAAACTGAACTTCGAGAGAAGAAGAGTAGAATCGAGGAACTCAGTGAGGCTCTCAAGGAAAGTGTTTTGATGACTGACGAAGGGGAGAAGAAATTAAAGAACGAAATCGAATACAAAAAAACAGCCATTGAGAAGGTGAACTTATTTGACTATTTGATAAATATTATAACAATATTAAAATTTGTTTAATAAAATCATTTTCAGATAGGGAAATTGGAGCAAAAGATCGCTTCAATCCAAACGGTTTCTGCCCTAAAGTGTCCTACATGCAGACCATTGTTGAATAAACTTCAAAAATCGGAGAAAAAACTAGAACGTCTTGCTGAAGAACGAACAACTCAGATGGAGGATTTACATCAAATGAAGTAATTATCTAAAATTTTTTGATACTGTTGTCTTATGAGTGAAAAAGTTATACTAAGTTAATATATTCACGATTTACACTTAGACGTGAGGCGTTAAAAGCAGCAGTTTCTGAGAAAGATGCACATTTGGCATTATTGGAGCTAACGGGTTTGAAAACCGCAACTCAGATCGAACAAGCGGAGAATCTTAAGGCAGAACGAAAGATGTTACTGGAGAAACTTAAAGAAGAGGCAAGTATCTTTCAAATACTGATACAGAAAATATGTTACCTTTGAGTTAAAAGTTAATTTCAATTATTGTTGAATAGGATGAGAGAAGTATCGAGTTAACAGCGGAATCGAGTAGTTCATCAACTCAATCGAAAAATGAGCCTGTTATCAGTCACAATCTTGACAATAGAAATCGTCCTGATAGTGAAGAAGTGTTCTTCAATAAAGAACAATTCCTGACGAAAGAGAAGATTGGGTATGTGTATTCATTGTTTGTGTTATTATTAAATTTTTATGTCTACTTCTCTTTTTCAGAATGAAATCAATGAAGAAAGCAGTTCGAAAAACAACAAGTACATATTCCGAGAGGGCAAAGGAAAGCAGATAAGTAGACAACATTAAGAATTGGTTCCTTCGATGTTGTCATATGTGCACTCGCAATTCTAGAATAAAAATCTAGATCATTTCTAGAGTCTAGAAGCTCTTTAACTTCTGTTTGTGGTGTATTTCTATCATAAAGCGACCATTCTTTTCACGCTTTATCCTTGATCATCTTCATCAACATTCTGATCAACATCATCAATATCATCCGCAACATTATCATCATTATGCAATCGCCATTCTATCTCATCAATTCGGCTTTCTGTGGCCGATAAGAAGTTCAAAGGCGGTAACCGATTGGACCTCTTGAAGAAAACCCGAAGACTAATTCAGCCTGAGAAATATAGACAAAACAAATTTTAGAATTCCATAGAATATGGTCTTCTAATTTATTATTTCTCGAGACTGAATTCATTCAGTCTCAATTTTTCTTTTCTTTTTAAGTCGAGTGCTTATTCTTCCAAAGTGTTCGATTAATTCAAGCTCATTGAGCGTGAAAGTCTTTTTTAGAAACTTAAGAACAGTGATAACCGCGAAAGTGTAGAGTCCTTCTTGAGAATTGTTGTTTTTTCTTTTTGTTTTCTTATTTCATCGAGGAGGATTTCCTAAACGCGTTCTTTTTGACCATTGAAGAAACTCTTTTCAAATAAGAAAAGCAGGGATAACTCTCACCATTTAACAATTTACAGTTGTAGCCTAACTGATTAATATTCAATTACTTCTAAATAATAATAATAATAATACTCTGCCTATATTTCTGAATGTCTTACTTGACACTGGGCCAAAAATAATAAAAACGCGAGAGTGTTATTTTGACCTTCAATGATTATATAGATGTAGACTTGATTAGAAGCTCTAGCTCTATAAAGACGAGGAGAAATGATCTTTCCATCAGCTATTAAATACAATTACTTTTCGAGAAAAGTAATTTTTGGAAATTGAAATTATTTTCCAATATAACTGACGGATCGAACAGGTTTAAAAAAAAGAATAACCCATGAAACTTTGAGAATCACCTGCAATCAGCGTGATACAAATCAATATCTCCCCGAAGAAGCTAATTGCAAATTCCATTCCTTTTTTGCATTGTCTCAGAGTTTTCCAAAAACGAAAAAAAAGTAATTTAGTTTAGCAGAAAATTTAAATTAAGCAAGATCGTGATCTTGTACAGTTTTTTTTCATTTGGATTTCTCGTCACGGGTCCAAAGGTCGTCATTGTATAGAGTACGATTTAGTACTACAGTTAAAGATATTGAAGAGATAATCTAATGTGTAAGCAAATAAAATTTGTAAAATACGGAGCGGGAAAAAAGTTTAGGGAGTTATAGAAAAGGGGGATTGTTAGAAGAAGAAAAAAAAGTAATAAAGAGAGTGAGGGAAAAATTGTCAAAATGGACGAAGAGACGCAAAGAGAGAATGAAGAAAAGATAAAGGACTGACAATGAAAAGCAATTTTTTTTGGGCTCAGGTGCTGAATCGTTTTTATGATGACAATAATAACCATTCGTACGCATCTCGCGTCGCTATGAACTCGGATAATTTCTTCTTTTCAACAATTAGATCTGAAAAAATTTTTTGACAATTTAAATAAAATTAAATAATTAAGAATCTAAGAAAACTAAAATTTATCTAAATGCAAAATTACTTTTGTGATGAGAGTGTAAAAATTTTTTAAATTAAAAAAATCAAACTTGAATCCCAAAGAAATTTATTTCTAAAAATATTAAAACTAAAAAAAAACTTTAATTCTTAAAACAAGAAGAAATGAAAAGAATATTATCCGAGTTACTTGATCTTTTGTAAATATTTCAATGAGTCTCTCAGTTCTTCGTCCAATTCCAAATCCCTTGTGTTAGAAATATTATTATTGATGCAATTCGAATTGATATTTATTATGAAAGAAATAAAAAAATGAAAAGAAATAATATTTGAAAATCGTATCTAATGGCGTGTTATTTATCCATATTAAAAAAAAAAAGTGTAATGAAGTAGCAAAGAAATCGTTAGAATTGAAAATCGAATTCTTGTATAAAGTCATTATTGAAAATGTGTTTTAAAAAAGAAAAGAAAAAGAGTCAATGTATCCAACAGAGTTAATCGCTATATAAAAAAATGTATAATAGAGTGTTAAGAAATTATCTAACTCGTTGCTTAATAAAACCTTTAATCTTTATTTTAATGTCCACGTGAAAAAAATAATATAGGCTGTTATATTTCTAGTCTTTAATAGTCTCAGGTTTTTATATAAGTTAAGAAAATATGATGCACCAATCAATATAAAAATATAATTGTTTATAGTATAATTAAATTCTCAAAAAAAATTTTATAGAATAAAAAAAGAATATTTATAGAAAAGAAAAATCTATACAACTTCTTCATTGCAGAACAATTAGTTTATTCTATAAAAATAAATTCTATTATAGAGAATTATAATCTTAGTTAATGAGAAATTTTATTATTGATAGTTTATAGATACGTCAACGTCTATCAAAAACAATGGATCAAAATAGATTAAATAATTTTTCCCTTGTTCTTCTTCTTTACAACAGAGAAAAGATAATTTCCAACGCTCTATGTATAGTAGAATATGAATAAATGTTTTTTTTTTTAAGAAAGAAAGAAGAGGAATCAGGTGTAGAATATATTTAAGAAAAAGAGCCGCCTCTTTGCTGATCTTCGATGTTACCCCGAGTTATGAGTCGCGAATTTAAAAAAAGCTTTTATCAGCGAAAGTTCGACGTTATCTCCTCGTGTACGGAAATTAGGTCCGATGTGCGGAGATGCAAGCCTGTTAGACTATAGAAAAAGAAGAATATGTGTGTAAATTTAGTTAGCTAGAATGGAGAGACTGAAAGATGCTATGATTATAAATGGAATTATAAAAATGAATGCTTTTCAATGCATCTGAATGTTCAAAATAGATTTTGATTGAGAGAATTTAAAAACGGATGCTGCATTCTGTTAAACTGTTTCCAAAACTGATCTGTTACATCCCTAAAAATGCATTCTTGAAAATTAAACTGATATGCTGTATCCTTAAAAAAAAATTTTCAAAAATTTTGAACAAATGCTACATTATAATTGAATGCTATGTATGTATTAGGGAAAAAATGCTAAATGTTAAGGTTTGCTTAGAAAAGTTACAATAAACCAAATATCTAATAAAAATATCTGTAAGAGATATAAAAAAATGAGAAAAAGAAAATAAAATGCGATTTGAAATTGAACGGTGACAACGGGTTGTGCAGGACATTAGTTAACGTGCCACCGTCATATCAAGCCTATATCATCGTGTTACGTCGTGTATTTAAGAAAATTAATATTATATCGTTAACGAATAAAAAAACATTGTTAATGGAGTATGCCTGTTTTGAAAGTGTGTAATGGATTTATCACTTCGTTCATAGTTGAATCTCAATGTAAGTTTACGAATAAAAAAAAACAGACACATACATTGTCATATAGACATTTTTCTCTTTATATATATATAAGGAATTGTTGAAAATTAACAGAGAAAAATGAAATAGAATACGCACACATTTTCTATAATTTCTGTTAAAGAAAACATGGACAGAGATTTTTAATAGCATATTTGATTTTATATCAAAATTATTTTTTTTTAATTAACGAAATTCATCGAACAACTTTGATAACATTATCATCGGTTTAAGAATTCTGTTTTGCTTTTTTGGGTAAATATTTCTCAATTGACATAATATAATTTTACAACCAAATATGAAATTAAAAAATCGATTCATCTGAGAAAAAATTGAGATACCTCTACGAGCGAGGATGAAAAAATCCGAACGTTAAAAAATCGAATTTCTTGTTGACCTATAGATTCTACTTTATTATTTTATTATTATTGTGCTATAGCCAATTCAGAGTTTCAAAATACACCATGTTATAGATGAAATCTATTCGAGTAGCTTAAACAAAAAAAACGACCGATTCTACGTCCGCTGCAATTCTCTTTCTGTATACAATATAATTACCACCGTTTTACAAAACAAAAATAATAAATTACATACAATATACATATACATACATATATAAATATAAAAAAAAATTCACTCACACAGGCCAACAAGGTTTTTCCATATACATATATACATATAAATATATAAATAAATATTGATTCTCTATTTATCGTGCACCGAATTGCGTGTAAAATCCTCAAGAGAGAGAGGCTGTCTCGATTATTTTTCGACTCGACTATTTAGTATGTTTACGAATGTTTTTTATCTGAAATAATTACTAAGAAATCAAATGGACTGATCAGGGATTCACGGCCCGGAAGCTTTTTATGCTGAATCGCAAATTACATTTAAAAAATTTTAAAAAAGTGCTTTTCTCCTGCTTCTTGTCCTTCACCATATTAAACAAAAAGAAAAAAAAATCCCTAAGCAAATTAATGTACGTGGGAGATATTCATCATACTGAAAAATAATTAGACTGCTTGTTTAAAATTTTCATTTATTTTTTAATTAATTATTTTCATTATTATTATTAAAAATTCAATAAGAAAATTTCTAAATTTTTTTATTTCATTCTTTAGATAACAAGAAAATTATTTTCTTATGACAAAAAAAATTGCCTGAACCAAAAATTTTTTTGTTATTTTAATAAAATTTTGATTAATTTAATTTTGTTGCCTTAATTAAAAACTAAAAAAATTATTAAAAAAGTTTTCAATTTTATTAAAATTATTTTATTCAATCAAAAACTAATGAATGTTTATTTAAACAAGCAGTCAAATGAATATTAAAATATTTCTAATTAAACATATATAATAAATTATATAAATAATATATATCCCAGGCCGAGGATCCGTGTTTAATCCTTAAAAAAACGACTTGGCTCCCCGCCCCCTTTTTTTATTCTTCAATTTCTACGTGTTACTGCTATAAGGTAAGACCGTAAGTACTCGAGTGACATGCATACAACTTATATTGTAATAAGGACGTAAGACAACTTATTTCACTCGCGTGTATATATCTAAAAAAACGAGAATTAAAAAAAAATATTCGCCTATTCCTAAACAACACTTTATAGGATAAAAAAAATTTGGGGAGAGAAAGAGCGAGAGAGTGAGAAAAATTGAAAACTGATTTTAAAGATTTGAGTCACAGTGAGAAAGGATGAAGAAAATAAGGAGAATAAAAAAAATTATATAGAATATAAATCATTAAAATCTAAGCTAAAAAATAAGCTAAAAAAAATAAATAAAAATTTTATTGAAGTATATTGTTGCAACTGCCATGCTGTGTGCCATTATATCTAAACAAGTCACATTTGTCGTAAATGAAAAAGGAAAAAAAAATTTAACAAAAAATATATACGCGTCTCGTCTATCTGAACTTCTAATACATTATTATGTTATATTCCCTGAATACATTTTGCTCGAAGTAGTGCTTCGAAAGACAGGTCGGTTTTTATATTCTCATCTGGTTCATATATATATATTATAAATATTATATTAATATAATTCGATTTTACTAATTGGATGTTATGAGATTCAAGGTTGTGATCAAGTGTCATATATATACTAGAAATCCACCTGTCGATCGAGACGTTCATTCAACTGGTTAGGACATTTTTAGAAAAAAAAGAAACTGTTCCACGTATTCAATTAACATTTTTTATTTTATAAAAAGCATTTTCGAAATTTAATTTTTTTATAAAATTATTAATTTTATTTAAAATTTGTTGAAACGGTGAAAAATTATTGTTGTTACATAGTCAATTTGTAAACCGCTTTAAAAATACATTATTGTTAAAAATAAATTTTTTCTTTTCTATAAAATTACTTTTTTTTGTATATCTTATTATATTTTTACGAAAAAAAAATATAAATGTAAACAATAGTTTTTTTTTCTATTCATTAAGTACAATGTGAACTTTGCATATATATAAAATAATTATAATATTTTGTACGTATAAAAAATGATTTAAAAGAAAAAGAATGTTGAAAACGAAAAATTTCTATAAGAAAAATTTAATTAGAATAAAAAGAAGAATACGTGAGAATATTGTAATATTTCACAAAATAAAAATGTGACAAGAATTAATTTTATGGAGGATACCTTCTCGTATCGAAATTTATACATTAAATTATTAAAAAAAAATTTGTAGTTAAAGAAATTCCAAGTTCAAATTTTCTATATTGCAAAAATTTATACTTTTGCATTAAAAAATAAACTTGTTATTAATTTGAGTAATTTTAGAAATAATTTTTGTTTTTTTACGTCAAATTAATTGGAGTTAATTTAATTAATTAGTTAATTAATTGGAAATTTTTATACGGGAACGTATTCGTTAAACTTGAGAAAAATTGGAACTTCACTGATAGCGATGACAGTCCACAGTTAAATGGCGGCGGGTTGTGTGAATTATTTATGCAAAACAACACAAAAAAAATGAGGCGTTGATCCATCATAGATTCAAGCACAATAAGGACTAGTAGGGCCAGGCACAATAAAATTTGGCCGACACATTGTAGGCAGCGATCTGTTAGAGCGACAAGTCATATAAATACCTATATAGCGAGAATATTAAATAAACACATATTGTCTATTGTCAGTCTTGTGTCTTTTTATTTAAAAATTTCCATCATTTTCCTTAAATTTCAATTATCTCTTTTATTTTTAAATAACTAATTTTCGGTTGCAATTTTTTTTCAGAAAAATTTTATTTATAAAATTTGGTGTTTTAATAAATGTTGATTTCTGATAAATTAAATTTTTAAAAAGACCAAATAAAAAAAAAATTTCAAAAATTGACGTAGTTTTTACATTATTCGTGAATCAAATATTATTTATCATTGGATACACAAATCAAATATTTGCATTACAACATTATCATAACTTGAAATATTGAATTTCAATTATTATTATTATAATTAAATTCGGCGTAGGTATATATTATCTGCTTGAACTAAATTATAATATAAATTATTTAGAATATTATTAAAAAATAAAATTTGCTGATTAAAATATAAATAAATAAACAAATTAATTAATTAATTTAATTATTTATTAATTAATATTAAAATAATATAAATATTAAATAATAAATATACTAAATAATAAAAATATTAATATATAAATTAAACATTATTATAATATAATAAATTGTTCTTAAAAATTATTGTATAATTATGACAAAAAAAATATGTCATTGGAATAACAAGGAAATTTTAATTTTTCAATCAATATTATTTTCGATTTTATTGTAGCGTAATCATTTTATAGTGTATTGACAGAACAAAGAAGTGTACACTGTACAATGAACAATTATCGAATATTATTTACATTTTACAGGCGTATTTATAATTTTTAGCCTTATAATGATATTGATCATACAATTTTGACACAATATATACGCAAAGAGGTGAAGTTTTTTAAATTACTATTTACAAATAGTTAAATAATCAAATCATTAAAAACGATCAAATCCAGAGATGAATTAATAGATATCAAGAAATTTCTATTTGAAATATTTTATTAGAAAATAAAATTTCTGCCATCGAATTTATAGAGTGATGAGAGACACCAACAGGAAATATTCAATTAGAATTTATAAAAAAACATAAAAAAATTAATTAATTTATTTATTTTTTAAAAATAAATTTTAATAAAAAAAATATATCAATGTTTTATAAAATAATAATTGTTTTGAAAAATTCACCTCTATATGTATATATGTAAAATCATTGAAAATGTACATTTGGTTACATGTAATTTTTTATCAGATATTAGTTATGTTATGCCAGAAAATAATCGTCTCTCTACTGTTTTAATCCACTTTTATTATTTTTTTTTCGAAATGACAAGTGGAACATTTTATTTATACATACGAGATTTCTAATTACATTGGCCGAAAAATATTCATTTTAAATTATCACATTTATTATTAAGGCCTACTTTCTCTTTACATCGTACGTTTTTCTGTTAATTTCCTCGTATTTTGTTGATAATTTCATTTTATGACAATAAAGTGAATTGTTACTAAATATTTAAAATAACTCGGCTCGGAAAAATTAATTTTTACAATTATACAAAATATCGCACCTAAAATTATAATTTATAGTTATATATAATTATTTATAATTCATATTTATATAATTATATATAATTACAATATATTTGTACAATAAAGATAATATTTTAATTATTAATTGATTCGTTGTAATTTTTATAATAACTGAATAATATTGCATAAAATGTAATAATATCAACAAAATTAGATTGACATTTTTTGGCTAAAAATTGTCTTGACAGAAAATATGATTTCTTTTTTTTATTACAATTTCTTTCTACATTTTGTTAACTTCAAACTATTTTTGCATTTTTTTTCTATATTATATACGGGAAGCTAGTGAACATAACAGGATAGTTATTTATTTTTTATGTTTCGTTTGTGCATATGGACATTTTTTCAAAGAAACGAGAAAGCATTCTTATTACAATTAATATTATTATATTTTTGTGTTACCTAGTTTTTTTTTGTTGATAGAGTGTAAAAAGTAGTAAATACATTAGGATATTATAGAGTCAAAATATGTTATATAGATTTGTATACATTATTTTCATCTGTAAAGAGAAAAATAAAATAGATGTACTATTTTTAGTGCACAAATATGTAATTTTTTGATTTTATAATTACAATTTAGATTATTTTTTAAATAAAAAGAAAATAATACATATATTAAATTTTTTCTCTTTTCATATTTTTTTTTTTTGATATTGATAATCATTAATTAATTACATGTTGTAGCTTCCTTTTAATAGAGAGCATAGAAATAGTATAACAAAATATATGAAATATTTATAAAACGAGTTTATATTGTTAATTATAAAATTCATATTTATTTTTTTCATTTTTTAATTTTGAGGAGATATTGAGCTCGAATATAAGTAAATAAAATTCCCTACATTTTTTTAGTAATAACGATAAAAAAAACTTCCTCTATGAGAAAGCAATAAATTATTTTAATTAAAATATGATTTTCATAATTAACAATACAGAAAATTGAATAAACACCATTTCGTGCAAGGCTAAAGCCGTGTCTTATCACATACTTTTTTTTATTTTTATTAAATTTGTTTCAATATTTACAGTCACTCAATGACACTTAAATTACTCATCATTTTTTATTTGATAAATTTAATTTTGTAGCTCATGGCATATGTTTAAATTTTATATTGTTATTTAATTCGAGTTTTTCTGAGCCCCTTAATTGCTATACGAAAATTTCCGTTAAAATTTTTTTTTCTCATTTTTATTACTATAAATTTTTTTTCCTGGCACATAATTATTCTCAATCCGCGATAGAGATATAATTATAATTTAATCAAAATTACCTTATATTTTTTTTATATATTCTTATATATCTATATAATTACAATTTTCGTTATTTTCTATACAAATATTGGACGTTGGTTGCGTTCAACTTTTTTTTAAAAAAACAGTGCTGTGCACATTTCCTATCAACATTTTTATAGACAATTTGTTTTCAATCAATTTCACTCGTAAATTAAAAAAAATGTATTTTATGATATTATAAAATTATTGTTAAAACGAAGTTTAAAATGCTTTTTTAGATTTTTCATTCAAATGGTCAAGTGCATATAAAACTTATTGACATAGTCTATGTAAAAACTATCAAGAAAAATATTTATACTTTAAAGATTTTTTTTATTTAATTTATTTTTTAAATTACCAAAAAAAATATTTCTGTTTATTTAGATAAATAATAATTTTTTAATTAAATATCGTTTTACATTTTTCAAATACAATTTAAAAAATTGTTTGAAAAATATAATTATTATTTAATATATAAATAAATCATTTAATAAAAAATTCATATAAAACTGAATATAAAAATTAATCTGAAAATTTTGTAATTTTGTAAATCTTTGAAGTAAAAAACTTTTTCCTGTACAGTTGAACTAATATTATACATATGGATTATATTAATATTTTGAAAGCTTGAATTCATCTAAACCCATCACAGCAGTAAATATACATATATAATCTATGATATGGAATGATATGAAAATTCGATAATAGGAAGAGTACCAAGTTTTTGTACAAAAAATTTGTCAAATCTCTGTCCTAAAAAAGTGGTTAATTAATTTTAATATAATCATTAGAGTTACTTAGAAATCTTATTATTATATATACTTGAGTCGATGATAAATATATATATATATACATATATATATATATATATATATATATATATATATATATATATATATATATTGTTATTATTATTAACAAGAGGAAGTTTCAATTTTGTGCTTTCTTTAGAAAATAATTTACGTTTTTGTCGAAAAAATATTTTTTTCAAATTAAACAATAATATTACTCCTCCTCGAAAACATTTACGTTCTTTAATTACAATTGTTAAAATATAAAAAAAATAAATATAACAATGCAATTTTTTTTCGAACAATAATTTCGATTAAAATTTTTTTTTATATAAGAAATTGATGATATTTGATATGAGATCATTTTTCATTGTTATTGGATTTAAAAAAATGTTTTAAAAAAACGAAAGTCGAAAATGAAATTACGTTCCCTGAATTTTAATGTGATATTAAATTTAATGATCGATGAACCATTAATTTTCAAAACTATTTATTATTAACATAAACATTATAAAATAACCTTGAGATCTTTTTTTATTAAATATTAATTTCATATTTAAATAATTAATTAATTATTTTCCAAAAAAAATGTTGTTAGTTAATTTTTTTCAAAGACTGCCCTTTGTTTAAGTAAAGAAATAAAATTGATAGTTATATATTGTATAGCATTTTATAAATGTCAGTCAAATATGTGATAAATTAAAAAATATAAATTGCGGGCAGTGAGAAAACTGCGTGTAATTGATTTTTTTTTTTTAAAAACAAAAAAATCTCTTTTTCCAGTCTAATGGTTTTTTTCCATTCCGTGCGATATAGGAATTCGGGATGGGAAAAATTTCGATCTTCGGCAGTGACAAATTGGCTCTCAATATACATATGCAACAAAATATTTTTAAAAATATCGAAAATTGTATATTCCAAAAATGATATATATAGTAATTGAATAAATATATGGCAAAGAACAACTTTTGTCAATATTAGAAATTTAACATTTGTAATAGAATTGATAGTTTTTTCAACAATACTTTCAATAAAAGTTTTTTTTATTAATTTGTCGTGATTCATAATTTTTTTTTGAATAAACTAACACAGAAAATTAAAAGGCATTAAAATAAGCTGCAACGCTTATTATTTTAATCCAATTTTACTTATTTTAATACCAAAATGGATTAAAATAAGCAAAATTGGATTAAAATAATAAGCGTTGCAGCTTATTTTAATGCCTTTTAATTTTCTGTGAATGTGAGTTTTGAAAGGATGAACAAAAAAAAGAATTAACAATAAGAGAAATATTTTTGTTGACAGCAAAATATTTTGTTGATATTTGATTTGTCTTAAAATCAATAAAATATTCTGTTATCAAATTAAATTGTTTTTTAGATATTATTTCAATAGGCAAATAATTCTTCCATAAATTCTGAATTTTTTTCACTTTTTCAGAAGTTGAAATTTTTCTTTACATTAAAAATGTTAATTTTATTTCTCCTTTTAGTTTTTTTACCTTTATAGCACAGTTTGTAAGGAAGTATTTATATGTATATATAATGAACTGATATATGAAAAATATTATTTTCCAATAGGTTCTTTTTTTCTCATCCGCAAAAAAATGTTCAAGCGCAAATTGGAAAACAATTATTGTGAATCCAACTGCAAAATGTGTTTTTATTTATCGATTTGAGGTATAACAATTTCTTACTCTCAAAGAGCCTTTTAATCATAGGCAAGATAGGCATGTTCTATTCGTAAGACAATATTATTATCTAAATCTAAATTAATCACTATTGATTAAATCAAAAGCACCGATTCGTTCCTTAAATAAATTAAACTTCAATCCTAATAATAATTATTATTATTTCAATAATTGATTATTATAATAAAATGTATACTTATTTAAAAATAATGAAAAGTTTGTGGAAAAATAAATTTTTTTATTAATATTAAAATAAATAATAAATAACAAAAAGAAAAAAATGAATTATTAATTAACGTAAGAATCGTAGCTTTTATTGAAAAAGTCAAAAATAATTACTAATTCAGATTTAAATAATTATTTACTGTTTCGACATTTTGAATATATATATATATATAATATATTTTTTTTATACAGACAACAAGTCTCTTTAATGAACTTTTATTATGTTGTTGAAGCAAAGAAAGTAAATGAGCCATGTTGGTTCTAATTAACTTTTTTCTTTTTCTTTTATTTATGATTTTCTTATTGCTCAGCTATCGAAGGGATCAAATGTCAAAGAACGCGTTTCTGGAAGCTGTCGAATATTACTATAGTTCTGATATAAATTGGAGGAATGTTCGGCATCACCAGCACTAAATCGATGGGAAACTTTATTTTCCGAATCCCATGACTCTCGATAGCCTCTTGACATTACTCGTCTACATGAACTTTTACCAAAACCATAGTTACCTGAAAAGAAAAAAAAAGAAATTTCTCTATTGTCTCTGTACTTACTTGATTTTCTCTTTTTTTATTTGTAAATTCTAAATAAACAATTTATTTAAAAACAATTAATGTTTAGTTTAACATTAATTAATTTCTAAAAACTGACGTCGAATACCTCCGAGTAATAAGATTCAAGTAAATCTGATGAATTTTAAAAAATTTTGTCCGCCATATTGGATCCGCCATCTTGGATTTTTGGAAAGTATGTTCCACTGTTTTAAAATTATATTTACCTGGTGATTCAGATGGTGACCGATGTGGAGAACCACCAATTGGAGAAAGAGGTTCATAAGGTGGTGGTGGAGGTGAAGATGGCGATGGTGTTGGCGATGGTGGGGGAAGCCTCAAAACAGATTCTGGCTCAAGGCCTAAAATTTTGAGAACACGTTGAGGATCGGTTCGTACCCACATATCTAAAATATCCACAGGCCAATCTGTTTGTGTGCAAACATCAATTAATCGCGCAGGTGGATTCCAACAAAGAGCATCCGGTGGATGCGATGAACTTCTTGCTAAAACTCCACTTCCTGCTCTACCCGCTGGCATTGGAAGATTTGGATTACTTTGAGGCGAACTTGCCAAAATTTGTAGAGCTTGAATTGCATTTCTCACCTGTTTTTTTATAAAGTAAATTTCAATGTTTTTTAATTTTTGCGGCATTCTTAAATAGTTTACTTTTCTGCTTTAGTTTTTTTATAACTTAGTTGGAATGAAAATTTTTCTACACTGTTTTATAATTTTGCAGCATACTGTACAGAAAAGTATACTATTCTGCACTTGTTTTTTTATAACTTTGCAAAAAAGCTACTTTTCCGCCTTGTTTTTATAACTTTCCTTAAAATATGCAGAAAAGTGTAGTTTTCTGTACTGCTTCCTAACTTTGTTGGATACAATGCAGAAAAGTATACTTTTTTACACTTCTTTATAATTTTTCTGCAAACTGTGCAAAAAAATATGCTTTTCTATCTGTACTAGTACCATTGAAAAAAAAAACAATTTTTGCCTTATCCTCTAAAAATAAAAATATTTCCTTTACTAAAAGAATTTAGCTAAAAGAAGAAGTTACTTTATCTTGTCATTTATTATTAATAAATTATTTAAACAATTAAACATTTAAGAATTTTTTTTTTGCTGTGAAAAAATGTTTATTTTTCAATGTTTTAAACTCGTAAAAGTTTCATGTATTTCTTTAAAAGTAAATAACTGTAAATTCTTCGTAAAACTTGATATATAATCATAAATTGCAGTTTATTTATATTTGAACAATTTTATTTTATGCCATATCAGTAAATGTTATTATATACGATAACATTTTATTATTTGCCTCTAAAAAGATTGTTATACATTTTTTTGAACAATTTTTTTTTTTAATTTTTAAAACGTGTAATTACATTATCTGTTTCTTTTTGAATTTTTTTTAATAATATATTAAATAGTAAAAACAATATACTAATATTATTTGTTCTGTTATTAGAAAAATATTAGTAATGTTAAAAATAATATATCTATAAAATAACCACGTGGAAAAAATTGAAAATGATTTTGGCAAATGGGAAATTATTTTTTTTTGTATAATTACCTCATAACTGAGCATAGTAACATCTTGATGCAATGTTGAAACTTGTGTATCAAGCCTTTCAACTGATCCTCGAATATGATCTTCAACAATATCATGAGGAGGAACTGCTGTTGTTCTACTTCGAACTAAAACCCCTTTTAGTGGCCTTCTACCTTCTCTACATTTATCCCTTTATGACAATTACAATTTTATTTTAAAATCTTTCAAAATTAATGATTAGGTACATTTTTTAATAATAATAATTAATAATAACCTAAATTTCGCGTGTCTTGGACTCGTTGCTGAATGTAACGGCGATCTATTAGGTGGTGACAAAGGAGACGTTTCACCCTCTTCAGGAATATTCTCGTCGTCCTCACTAATTGACGGAAGAGTTAACGATGGACCATTCATATCTGATTCTTGCTGTAAATTGAAAAATTCTTTCTCAATTTTTCTCTAAGGAAATAAATCCATTGTAAAAAAAATAAAGGTTTGGTTGATAGAATAATTTGATTGTGGGAATTCATTGACGATGTGTGAATATTAATTACCTCAGCTTCATAACCTTCGCGAAGATTATAAGTGAGATCATGTTGAATTTCATTGGCGAAAACTTGTTGATATTCAGGATAGAGACGAAGTACATCAACCAATCCCTGTATGTGGATACACTTGAGATCACAGTATGTTAAAGCTTTCACATCACAGCTTGATTTTACCACAACATCTGTTGCCACAATACTGGGACCTCCATTGGCCCCATGTTGAGGATGCTGTGCGTTAATGTCACTACCTACTAAATCTCCTTTACCTGTACAATTAAAACACCCATAGTTGAGACAATAAAATTGTCAATGCTAATGAATAACCTCATTTTTAATTAATAAATATGATAAAAAAAATTTCTTCTCAATTTTCTTACATTAGTGTTCATCACAAAGACTTTTATTTGCTATTGTTTTATTAAAAATAATTCCAAAATAATTAACAACTTAATTAATTGCTTTGATCTTTTGTGTTTGCTTAGGGTTAATGTACCACGACAAAGTATAAGAAATTTGCAGCTGTTTCCTTTGCCCTATGAATTCCATAATCAATAGAGAATTATGTAATCTGATTTTTGATATTAATGATAATGCTAGATATTAAAATTCAATTTTGTATTTTCTTACAATTAGTACTTTGTACAAATGGGTTCTGCCTGTAAAATTGTATAAATAAATATAACAAATAAAGTCTACTTTTGATTTAGGTAACCGAATCAGACTTTAATCTGATTCAGATATCTGCTTCAAGTAAACTTGACTTTTGATTCGGATATTAAAACCGAAACTAAACTATCTTGATTCTAATGCCGGAATCAAGATTCACTTGTATCCGAATTAAATCTAAAAAGTTCACTTTTGTTTCCGATAATATAATCCGAAACAAATTGTTTTCGTTTTTTTTCTGTTACGATCATTGCCTTTATTATCTAGCTTATTAAAAATTGATTTTTTTACCATTATTTACCTACGATTAGAAACATAAAAAGGTAAAACGTTGCGTTTACACTATACATCTGTTAACTGACTAATCATAACAGATGTCCGTACATTACAGAATCCGTAATTGCGGACCTAAAAATCATCGAGAAAAACTGTAAATTAGTTGAATTTATCAAATTGATATACAAATTTTTATATCAATTTGATACTTTTAAGTTAACTATGGGCAAAGCGATACAAAAAAACAGTTGGATGAATTTTAGAAGGTACCGTTTTCTGTTTGAATGCTTTGATTTTGAACATACAGTGTACAGCAAACAATAAATCCATTATAGTTTATTAATTAATAATAAATTACACATTATCCAAAATAGATATTAATTTTAATTGATCATTATTATTATGAAATTCTTACCTAATATGGCGACAACCATGCTATTTTGCACAACTTCCATACTACCATTACAGAGATAATAAATGTACGAAAGAGCGTCTCCCTTATGAATAAGGAATTCGCCCGGAGCACAGAAATTGTTTCTGATATGTAGTGAAAGAAGTTTGAGGCATCCTTGAGAAGCACTTTCAAATATTGGTAAACTCAAAATTTCCCGATGCAAGTGCATTGATACATCGCCCCTCAATTCTTCTGGAAATTCTTTAAGGGTCTGAAAGAAGATGTTCAACATGAAACTTATGTTGTAGAAAACAAATATACTTGACTTTCACTCTTTTTTATACATCATATATTTTATTAAATTCCCTTTTTTTGTTTTTAAAAATAATTCACATATTTGAATAAATTAGAAAACAATAATATTGAATATGATCAATTTTCAATCTTTTCATTTTTTTATTAATTCGAATTTTATCTCTATGAGAACATTTTTAAAAAATTTTCCAACAAAATTATACTTTTCTTGACAGAGGAAATTGGTTTAGTATTTTAAATTTTATTGAGATACATATATTATATTTTCTCCTACTATATATAGAAAATTGATTTAAATTTAGAATAACCTATTTTACTTCTATAATTCAGAATAATTGGAAATGATTTTAAAACCATACTACTTTTTTTGTATATTGTACAATATATAGAATCGTTATTGATAATTATTGTTAATGATATAAAAAATTCCTACTACTATTTTCTGTAATAGAATAGATAAATAAAGCGCAGTATCTTTTAAATAAAATGTTGAAGCTTGTATTTTTTTACCTCATGTATATCAATCCCGTGATTTAGTGACCACATCGTATGAAAGTAATCTTGCATCCTCTGCTTGAGCTCGTCTGGTATTTGATGAAGGACGAGGAAATCCTTTAAATCCCTCCACTTTGATTGATATAATGACCTTCTTGAATACATCCTTTGTATGATTGCAGTGACATTTCCAAAAACTACAGCGTGCATTAGAGCTGAAAGAAAATTTATATTCGCAGATTACTGATACTGTTATAATTATTATCACACAAATTCCATTAGTTTTCATTTTTTATTTATTTTTCTTTTTTCTTTTCTGTTTTAGTTATTTATTTATAAAAATAAACGTAGTGAAACTTAAGTTAAAAAATTTCATAGAGCAAATTAAACAATTTTATTAATTTTTATTACAATTTTAATTCTCTGTATCCGAAAAAAACTTTATAGAATACTGCAACTTACATCGAAACAAATAATTAATTACAAAAAATAATTTATTTAAAAACTGAAACCCGTACAGAAATGGTATCGCTGATTACAAATCCGATGTCAGTTTTTCAAAATTCCAAATGGCGGATCCAATATGAAGGACAAATTTTTTGAAATTCATTGAATTTACTTGAATGTTACTGCTCGGGGATTTTTGGGGTCGCTGATTACGAATCCGATGTCGGTTTTCAAAATTCAATATTGTGGATCCAATACAGAGAAAAATATTTTTTAAATTGATCCTATTTGCTTGAAATATCAATTTCTGCACGGAAACAACGAAACTTAAAGAATTAAAAAAAAACTATTTATCCTTAAAAAATACTAACCTCCTACAAGCATTGTTAAAATAGAAAATATTTTTTCAAATGTTGTATTTGCTGATACATTTCCAAATCCAACTGACGTGAGGCTACTGCATGTGAAATATAGTGCAGTCACATAGCTATCCATACGAGTGACATTTTGTACGGGAATTTTTAGTCTATCTGCGAGAATGTGAATCCAACCTGTAAAAAAAATGGCGAAAACTAGATCATAAATCGTTGAAGTATTTTTTTTTGTGGAATTTTAGTTTTATTTTTTAGACGCTGGAGTTCTGTATATATGCAGTCATTCTATATGCTGAGTTTTAATAGCTCGACTATATGTCAAGCAATCTCGATTTATTTTCTCACCAGTTGTGCACCCAATTTTCCGCACTTTACAAATTTTTTCTTCTTCTTTTTTTTTTTTTTTTTTTTTTTTGATTCGCATTAATTACTTTTGTGTCAAGTGTGAAAAATGCAAATCCAAAGTCAAGTCTATAAATAATAAACATTTTCATCGGTTTATTTAAAAATTGATTTTTTAAATTTGATCGTTTAATCAAAATGTTTAGAATTTATTTTTAAAAAAATTTAAATATTCTAAGCATGTAAATGGGAAATACAAATAGTGGTTTATTTTAATAGTGATTTAGAATTTATTTTCTTTATTGTCTAAATATATATATATATATATTTGTGTGTGCAACTCTATAGGAATTTAGAGTATGTTTAGGTACGTAGTGACGGTTTGAAATTCAGGTTGACAAATACTGGAGGATCCACTCGTAAGTCTAGTGAATCGTGAAGGGAACGCGGAAGAGATAAGCGCCAAGCTTTTGCATTCTCAATTCATGTAGAAATCTTATTTCTGGGTCAACATTATTCGGATTTTTCTCTTATATATATATATTATATCAGGAAGATGAATAGTATGTTCCAAGGTATATAATTTCCTTTACCATTTCCGGAACATTATATTTGTAATATCTCCTTGACATTGACAGTATTAGGGTAATGAAGAAATTTTCTTTTTTTTTGGGGGGGGAAGGGGATTCAAAGTTGACATTTTTTATTTTAAATTAATTCAAAACTGTTTGCAATGATTTAAAATTTTTTAAGCTCCATTTTGAATGCTTTTGAAAATTCTTCTTTATACTTCTTTATACTACTTGTAAATCTTTATACTTTGCAAATTCTTTTTCTTTTTTAAAATAAAAGTTAATTGCATAAAATTTTTTACAATGTTCCATTAGGTTTTTTAAGAAGTTCTATTTTTCATTAATTAGATGATAGAATAAAATTGTTTATCACAGTTTTTTAAAGAAACAGAATTAATTAAAAAAAATTTCACTTGGCAGTTGTTTAATAAAAGTTAAAAATTCAAATGGCTATAATATTAAGTAGATTCTGGAATCTGAGTTTTTCATAACAACACTCTGGAGAGCTGTCTGTATTCGCCTATCACACAAGTGCTATACAGACATTTACGATTCCCATTGCAACAGGCAAGGGGAGACCAAGTTGTTTTCGAATTTAACTTCTTTTTTTCTCTTCTTCTTCTTCTTCTTCTTGTTTTAAAGTAGGAACAAAGAAAGAAAATACGTCTATTCAAAAGAAAAAAAATATTAGTCTATAAAGGATAATTAAAAAGTTTTACAACATTTTTTTATGTAACTTTTAAAACAATGCAAATTTTTATGCAGAATAAGTATTGTCTATATGTAGATCATCAAAAAGATAAACAGATAAAAATTTATATTAGATAAAGGATTATTATTCTTGAAAAACAGACCCATATTATAATTATTAATTAATTAATAATTTTACTAATTAAGTAATTAGTACAATTTTTAAGTAAGAAAAAAATTTGGCTGATAAATATAAACCAATAATAATATATAAAAATAATAATAAAAAAATATAAACTCAGTAAAAAAATTTCAATTAAAATTTTCACTAAATAAAAAGTTTATTTCTCATTTTAATTGATTTGACTAGATGTTTAGTATATATTATATATATAGAAATCTAAAGAAATTTTCTCTCAGATATTTATTTTTATTTAAATTTTAAAGCAATAATTTTGAAAGTCATCGAGAAACCTGAACTTTACTTTATAAATGAAAAAGCAAGCTGTAATCTTTTATGTTTAGTAAATTTCAAATTTTATCACAACTTCATGTTTCTTGATAACTTTTATAAAGTTTTACGTAAATGTCGAAAAAAAAATTGAAAATATTCTACATAAATTTTAGAGAACTACTTTAAAAATTATATAATAATTAAATTAAATGCAATTTAATTTTAGAGAACAACTTTTGAGTAGTAATTTCCGTTAAAATAAGACTGGTAAACCATATATATCGGTCGAAATTAACAGCTCCACTCCTCCTGTAAAATTCCAGAGAATATTTCCACCTAGTTTTAAATTAAAAGTTTTTTAAATTCCAAGAATGAAAAATTTTACACATTTGATAAATGAAAAATTTTTGTTCTGAAAAAAAATTCTTGTTTACTTTTATAACAGGGATTTTATTAAAAAAAAATGTTCCAATTTTAAAATAGAATTCTACCAAACTGAAACTATATGAAAGAATAGATTTATAAAATTTTTTAATAAATTAATTAATAAATTAATTAAATTAAAGTTTGAAATCCAAGAAGCCAAAAATTTTCCAGTTAAAAAACTAAAAAAAAGTTTAGGTTTTATATCATACATTTATGAACATTTTTTTTTAGTTCAGCTTACTGATTGGTTCAATAAAATATTTTTTTGAAAAAATGTATAGTTTATTTGTTAGGTATTTACCAAGGTCCCATTCTTTATCGTTTCGTAATCTCTCCTTTTCTGCGATGACATACCAAATACAGGCCAACCAATGAGCAACCAGAGTGAAGAAAATCATAAGTAATGCTAATATCATTGCACTATATTGAGAAAACCTATCCATTTTCTGCAGAAGGCGTGCTAGCCTTAATAATCTGGTCAATTTCACCAGGTGAATGTGACTTTGGCCTGATTCCTGCAAAAGACAAATGGATATTATTTTTTAAAAAATGTGCCTTGAAATCATTGATTACGAATCTGAAATTAGATTTTCAATATTCAAAATGGCCGATTCAATATGGAGGAAGATTTTTAAAAAATGTGTATCGCACAAATTTTCCATTTTTACAAAATTTCTCTTTACCTATATATATATATATTTCTATATTTTTTCGAATTTGATTACGAATCTATCACTAAATTCGTAATTTCTGACCTCGAAAACCTCCGAGTAACAAGTTTAAAACGAATTAGATCAACTTTTGAAAAAAATCTTGCATCATATTGAATTCGCCATTTTGAATTTTGAAAAGCTGACATTTCATAGTAATACATATTTTTAAATTTAAAATTATTTTTTTTTAATTCTATTTTTCTCTACTAGATTAAAAAGGAGTTTTGATAAATTTTTCAATTATTGTTTTGTTGAAAATTTCATTTAAAATAATATATATATATATATATTTTTTTTTAACGTAGATATAATTAGAAAATAAATGTTCAAGATAATTACTAGATGATAAGAATTATATGGATAATTTGTTTGTGAATATCGACTATATAAAGGACTGAAACTATTGTTTTATTTTAATTAGCAGTTTTTAATTGTAAAAAGGTGGAATAAATTTTTTTTCAGTCAAAAATGTTTCAATTAAAAATTTTATTTGGTCTCACTGTAATTTTTTCATTAATTGCATTATCAATTGGTCAAGCCAATTATTGTAATATTTGTCGTGATCACACTATGTGTAAACCTCATGTGAGTTGATTTCGCTACGCAAATTATTATTAATTTTTATTATTTAAATAAAAACAAAATTATTGGAAATTGTGTTTTCGTTTCGATAATAAAAAAGCCAGTACCTAGAATTAAATAAATTTATTTTAATTACAATATAATAATACAAAATTTTTTAAGTATACAAGACCAGCTTGTCCAACTAGACAATTTGGCCTTACCAAACAACAAAAGAATAAAATTCTTTCGGAACATAATAGATATCGACAATTGGTAGCTAGTGGTAATGAACCAAGAGGAAACCCTCGAGGTCCACAACCAAAAGCAAAATCTATGCCAAATCTGGTGAGAAAATAATAATTATTTATTTCCTTTTATTTTGTATTTAGTTTTCAATTATTGCAATTTTAATTAATTCCAAATTTAATAAAAAATTAACATATTTTTCTGATATCAAAATCGATAGACAATTTTTCCTAATAATACGCTAATTACAGTACTAGAATACTTTTCCTGTCTTTATTTTAATAAAAATAATTTATTCTCATTTGAAAAAATCATAATAGAAACTCTTTTGTTTTTGTCAAAATAAAATAGGAATGGGATCATGAAATAGCAAATATAGCGCAAACACAGGCTAATTCATGCATTTACGCTCATGACACATGCAGAAATGTCAGTTAGTATTAACAATTTTTCATTTATTATATTGTCAATATTATTAATATTTATATATTTATTTATTATTATTACATTTGTTTTTTATATGTTTTTATAATTGTTATAATTAATTAATTAATTGTTAATATTTTTTAAATTAGTGAACTTATTGTTATAAATTATTTGCCTCTTTAGAACGATTCTCTGTTGGTCAAAACATTGCACAATGGCCTGTGGCTCAGGGTGGACAACCTCAACCAGTGGAAGCTTTAGTAAAATTATGGTACGATGAAGTGGCACTATTTAACCCTCGAATGGTGGAAAATTTTGTGTAAGTCGAAATTATTTTTTTTAGTAAATATACATTTATCTTTACTATTATTATTATTATTATTTTGATGTTTTTTATTAATTATTAATTGGAACTATTTTATTTATAATGTAGATTAAATTAAATTTATTTATTTTTAATATGTTCATAAAAAAATATATATTCTTTAAATGCAGATTTGAGATGAAAACTGGTCATTACACACAAATGTTATGGGCAAAGACAACCAAACTTGGCTGTGGTTATGTAAATTATCAAAAAGGTGGTCAATACATTGTTTATCTCGTTTGTAATTATGGTCCTGCTGGTAATATGCGTGGTGGAAAAGTTTACGAAATTCGACGTTAAAGAGAATAATATCGAAAAATTAATGAATTTTAATCATTAAATATTTTTTGTCATTTTAAATAAATAGAAAAAAAATTATTAAAATCCATTTCTGCAAATATATAACAAAAAAAATGTATATCATTTAATAATAAAGTAATATTTGACTATACATATTATTACATTAATATTATAAATATTTTCAAATTCATTTTAAATTTTTTTAAAAAATTTTAAATAATAACTTTGAAAATTTTTTAAAACAATTGAAAGTTTAAAAAAATATATACAGTGGAACCTCTATTATCCGAACTGAAAAACATTTTATCCGAACTTCTATTATCCGAACTATTTTTTGGTCTCCCGAATTTTAAATTTTATTTTCTCTATTTATTTTATCATTCATTCATTTATGAGAAGAATGCGTGATTTGGCATCTAAAAAACGAATAGATGCTATCTTTCAAAGCAAAATAACCAAATTTATGCCAAAAAAATCTTAAAAATTTCCGAATTTTCTGAGTTTTTAATATATTATTAATTAATATATATTTACATATATGTATATATACTTATGTATATTTAAAAACATATGTATTAAGTTAAATATATAGTTCAACTATACATTTTTTTACTTTAATTATAAAAAAAAATTAAAATCTCTATTATCCGAATTTTCGATTATTCGAACCCGGCCTTGCCTAGATTAGTTCGGATAATCGAGGTTCCACTGTATTAGTATACTTATCAGTTTTCTGATTCAAAGCTAAACGCACGATTTAATTATTAAATATTATTTTTTAATATATCCATTTTTATGAATTTTCTATCTAGATTTTTATTTTTTTTTGAAAGAATAATAATTTTTTATACTATATAATAAAAGAGAATATTGACGAAATATTAAAAAATCGAGTCATGTAAAAAAATATTACTCACGAATTTGAGGGTATAAATACTCCGAAAGTAATACGGGAATCTATTTCACGCATAATTTTTTTCTTTTGCTAAAGTAATAATTATTAACGTATACAGTAAAGTGCTAGAAAAAAAACAAAATGTTTTCTTCAAAAATTGTTTGTTCTTTTTCATTAATTTTTACAATTAATGAAGTTTTCACCCAAGAATCTTGCTTCAATCGAGTAAGAACTTTGAATTTGTTTCAATTTTTTACTTCCACTAATTCATTATTATTGTTCACTCTTTTCTCTATATTTTTATTCTTATTTTAAGAAGAAAATATTTTAAAATAATTTATAAAAATTAAATATTGTTTCTTTTTTTGTATTTATAGGAATTACCAGCACCATCGTGTATTACAGAAAAAAATGGTTTAAGTCCTGGTGAGAAAGAATCAATTCTTGTGAAGCACAATAAATTAAGAAAATGTCTTGCTTCGGGTGCAGAAGGAACAGGTTCAAACAATTACGGACAACCAGCCGCAGCATATATGCCAGATTTAGTAATCAAATTTTATAAATTATTAATTTTTTTTCTCAAATAATAATAATTATTATTAATAATTATAATTATAATAATCTAAAGTAAAATTATAAAATTATTTTTTTTAAACACGGAATGGGATGAAAAATTGGCAAAACTAGCGCAAAAATGGGCTGATACTTGTAATTATGGACATGATAGGTGTTTATTTGGCAGTAAGTAGATGTAAAAATTTAATAAAATTGTTACTGATTCCCAATAGAAGATATTTTTTCTAAAATATATGATTTTATTTAAAAAATTTTAATTATATAGTAATATAATAATCTAATAATGATAATAATTTTTTAATTTTTTTTTAGACGCTATGGGTCAAAATTTGGGATTTATTTCACATTCTGACGAAAGCCAGTTAAATTATCCATCCATTGTGCAAGGATGGTATGATGAAGTAAAAATTTTTGATGGTTCACAAGTAGAAAATGTGATGTAAGTGCGGTATTAAATGTCAAAGAGACACCATTTTGTATATTTTTATTTTGAAACTTTTTTTTATTACTAATTGAGATTAGTTTTTGTATACCGTTTGCCGTGGTCTTTTGTAAGGTTTGGATATTTTATACTCTATTTTAAAAAAAAAATTTTAGACAATATCGCCTATTGTTTTTCTAGGAATTTTGGTGGATCGGCTCACTATACGCAAATGATATCAGCAAACACTACAAAAATTGGATGCGGAGCTATAAGATATAAATCTGACGGTATGACTCGAATACAACTTACATGTAATTATAGTCCTTTTGTTAATATGATGGGAAATGGATTATATAAAAAAGGGACTATAAATCAACAAATGCCTTCATCTGGAAACCCCTATCACTGCGAATAAAAATTTTATTCTATTGTAAAAAATTACATTTTCGATTTTATATTTTTAATTTTAATAATAAAGGCAAATATTTTAAAAAAGCAAATAGAAGATTGGCAATGTAAAATAAATAAATATTATTCTATTGAATTAAAAAATAAAATTTCTTTTTTTCTAGACCTTTTGTTTCTTTTTTTTATCTTCTTTCTTATTGAAGAAAATCACAGCTTATTTCATGAATAGTTTCGCGTAATTCAAAAAACAATTTCACGCTTAATTGTGTAATTAAAATGCAATTTCTAAAGATTTATGATTTGTTCTGAAAACGTGAAGTTAAAAATCATATCAACGCGTTAATACACGTCAAATATTATGAATACCTTCATATATATTATACTAATTTGAATTTGAAAATATTTTGTATTAAATATATAATTATTTATCATGTAAATAAAAAAAATATATAAAAATAATAATAAATTAGTATAATAATTTAAAATTGTAAAATTCAGTGCACTCTATCAGGAAAGTATAACAAATTTAGTGAACTAATAAATAATTTAAAAAAATTTTTAATTGTCTGAATTAATTCATGAATAAAATCCCTGTGACTTAAAATTGATAAATGAAAAAGAAAAAAAAACTTTCTTGATGACATAATATCATTTAATGCTTTTTTTTTGAATAATTTTAAAGGAAAGTTTTGAAAAATTACAAAAAATATTATAACAATTTTGTGGAAGAATTTTCATATTATATAAAATAAATATGTAAACATTTTGTATAATATTTTAAAGATGATTAAAAAGTATGAATTATTAGATATAAGTAAAAGTAAATGTTATTATTTACCATATATATGACTCTAATTTATACACTAAAAGAAAATAATTTTTTTAATTTTTTAAAAATATTTTATGATTTTGTAAAAATATGCTAAAAAGAGAAATTTACATTTTCTATAAAAAATTTTATATAAAATTTAAATATTAAATTTTCAATAAAAATATATTTGAGGTATTGCTAAAATAATTATAAATTTAATTAAAATATTTTAAATAATAATTTATTAAAATTCGCAATATATACTTTGTGCAATCTTTATATATATATATATACAAGGAAAATGCGAATGTATATTTTGTTCGATAAACTGCAACAGTTGTTTTTTCAAAAATAAATTATTAAAGCTTATCTCTAATAAAAGCAATGCTTTTATGTTATTTACATATTTTAACAGTAGAAAAATAATAATCATAAATTGTTTTTATAAAAAATAGTCAATTTCCCCTTAGTAATGTCTCGTTAATTTCATAAATAAAATAAAACTGAATTACTCATTTATGATTAAAAAGTTATAATTATTATTATTAAAAATATTTTATAATTTAAGGAAAAAAATGATGCCATCGACAGTATCACTTACAGAATACAGAACACTTTTAAAAAAAGTTAAATGACTGATTTCAGGTATCAATAAAAAAATAAATGACAATTTAACATCGAAATCGAGTCTAAATTAAGAATTTCGAGAAGTCAGAATTTCTTTTTACATAGTAATGTGAATAAAAAAAGAATTTTTTAAAAATATTGAATTAACTAGAAATGAAAAAAAATTTATTTCATTCAAATAATCGATTACTTGACTATTATTATCAAATAAATATTTATTTGTATCAAATAATTTTTATTTATTTATTATTTATTATTATTACTTTTGGACCAATTATTTTTTTACAGTGAGAAAAAAAAGGTAAGAAAAATTTATTTTAAATTAATGATCTGATAGTATGTAAATAAATGTTCTACTATACAATTTTAAATCCACTTTACCCCATTTGACGACACAAATACAGAAAAAATTTTACTTTCGAGGAAAGAGGATTGCAAATTTATTTTACGATAATGAACACCTGATAAAATTTTAATGTCAACAAAATGACATTAATTAGATGGAGCATAAAGAGCATAAGATTAGTATAAAAGAAACTGAGAAAAGTGCATGAGTAAATTGTTTGTGGTTGAAGTAGCAAATTAAGTCAATCTCATTGCACACTATACGAAGTATAATGGCATTGTTACGCAGTCTCTTTTCTCTTTTCACAATTCTAACAATTGTTGTCCTAATCCAAGGGCAAAATGATTATTGTAACATTTGTCCAGATCATACAATGTGTCGTTTCACTGTAAGTATATACGAAATCCAAAAGTATGTACAAAAATGAGAAATTTTCAAAAATTATTTTAATTTGATTTGATCAGATCAGAATATATTTTATTAATTTCGTATCATTAATAATAATTTTAATGCATAAAAAGAATACAAAATTATAGTCTTTTTTTGAAAACTGTTTAATTTATTTTTTGTAGAACCCAAGACCAGTTTGTAATGCAAGAGTATCTTCTCTTACACCTGCACAAGAATCCGAAATTGTGAGAATACATAATGAATATAGACAAAGAGTCGCTTCAGGCCAGGAAAGAAGAGGAAGGCCTGGACCACAACCACGAGCCAGAAATATGCCAAATATGGTGAGATGGAATATAGAAAAAAAATAAATAAGAAAATAAAACAGTAATTACAATTTTAACTAAAATATTATTTAGTAATTTTGCTAAACTTGTACCAATTTTAATGACTGGTTTGATATATTTACTAATTGTTAATTTTTAATTAAAAACTGTTAACATTATTTTTTTTTAAATTATTTATTTCAAAATTTAGTTTCAAATATTTTAATTACAGTAAAACCCCGTTTATCCGAAGTGGTGTCCCAGTAGGAAATTCTGTATTATCTGAGTCTAGTCTACTTCATCCGAGTTATTTTTAATTTTAGTTTTTTATAAATATGAGTTTATTTTTAATAAATTCTAATTGTTTAAATTATTATGAAATATATACAATATTATTTTCCTGTTTGTAATAAATAATAATTGTTTAAACAATAATAATATTAAAATGTAATAACAATTCGGATTATCCGAGTTTTCGTCTTATCCGAGGTAGGTCCGGTCCACATTAGCTCGGATAACCAGATTCCTACTGTAATAATACAGATTACAAAGAAATATAAGAGAATTAAGAGAAATTAAAGAAATGTTATTTTCACTTTTTAAGGTTTGGGATAGGGAATTAGCAACCGTAGCACAAAGATGGGCTAATCAATGCAAATTTGAACATGACACTTGCCGAAGAGTTCGTAAGTGTATAATAAATTATTTTCAATACGAATAAATAAAAAAAATTCATTTTATTCTAAGTAAATTCTCTTAAAAATAATTAAAATTTCACCAACGTTAAAGATTTAAAAACAAAATTTTTAATTTTTTTTAGGACGTTTCAATGTTGGTCAAAATATAGCTACAGCATGGACAACGGGCTCGAATCCTTCATCAATAAGAGATTTAATAACAATGTGGTATGATGAGGTGGCACTATTTAATCGTAACGAAGTTGAACGATATGTGTAAGTAAAATCAAAAATCATTTGTCCGTAAAAGAAAGAAGTTTCGGTTTTTTGTCTAATTTTACTTGAAATTATGTCGTTTTAATTTAAGATTCCGAATTTCAACAAAATATTATAATTACTAAATAAAAAAATTTTACTAATTTTAAAAATAATTCTCCATATGAAAGAAAAAATATTTTTTTACGATTGTAATAAAATGAATTATTAATTAAATCATAATTTAATTAATGATTTATTACTGGTTACTGTTTAATAATTATGTAACTGAATTACGTTTATATTAACTAAATTATTCTGTCACATACAGTTTATATTTTCAATTGATTTAATTAAATTTTATTTATTAACAATGATTTTTTATAGATTTAGATTGGAAACTGGACATTACACACAAATGGTATGGGCAACAAGTATTAACATTGGCTGTGGATATGTTAATCACATGGTTGGAAATCGAAACACTGTTTTATTAGTTTGCAATTATGGACCAGGGGGAAACATCCGAGGAGGAAAAATATACGAAATTGCTAATTAGAAGAATTTTATTTTAATGAAATATCTTTCTCAAAAATTAAAAGATGTAATGTTTAACAATTTTTGATCATTAATTAATGGTTAAAAATTTGTCAATTTCTATTTAATAAAATAAAACCTTCGTTAATAACACAAAAGAAGATGTCTTGTCGTTTAATTTAGATCTACGCTTAGCTTATTACTGTATTTTTGTAAAAGAAACAAAATTTTAAATTTTAAAACCTTTTTCAGATTCTATTTTTTTTATAAATTAATGAAGAACAAACTATCCTTTAATGAATAGAATCAACATTTCGAGACAATAATTGAAATAATAATACAAGTAGTAAATTAATTATTTATTTAATAATAAACAAGTAACCAATTATTTGGATCAAATAAATTTTTTTACAATGTATCTGCTAAGAGAAATATATTATTTTAAATCAGTGACCTAAACAAGAGAAAATAAAAGTTCTACCATACAAATATAAATCCATTTTACCCCATCTGACATTACATGAAAACTTTTACTTTCGAGGAAAGTGGATTGAAAATTTATTTTATGATAATGTACACCTGATAAAATTTCAATGTCAACAAAATGGCAATAATTAGATTGAGCATAAAGAGTATAAGATTAGTATAAAAGAAACTGAGAAAAGTCCATAAGTAAAGTCCATTTGTGGTTGAAATTGCAAATTAAATTAATCTCGTTGCTCATTATACGAAGCAAAATGTCATTGTTACACAGTCTCTGTTTTCTTTTTACAATTCTAACAATTGTTGTCCTAATTCAAGGGCAAGAAGATTATTGTAGCATTTGTCCAGATCATACAATGTGCCGTTTCAGAGTAAGCATATATTCAAAATACACATAGAAGTACAATTTATTAGAATTTTTTTAAATTGTAAAATAAGAAGAAAAAATTATAGTTTTATTTAAACTTTAATTTTGTCTAGAACACAAGACCAGTTTGTAATGCAAGAGTATCTACTCTTACAACTCCACAAATATTGGACATTTTGAGAGTACATAATGAATATAGACAAAGAGTCGCTTCAGGCAATGAAGGAAGAGGAAGACCTGGACCACAACCACCAGCCAGAAATATGCCAAATTTGGTGAGACAAAAAATAGAAAAACAAAGAAATAAAGGGACGTTTCACGTCAACCTGATTAAGAGAACTTAAAAAAATTTTAATTTCACTTTTCAGTTTTGGGATTGGGAATTAGCAATAATTGCGCAAAGATGGGCTTTTCAATGCAGATTTGCTCATGACTCTTGCCGAAACACTCGTAAGTTTTATGCTATACTTTGAAAAAATTATTTCTTGATATAAAGATATCGGTTTCATTAAGATGTTTTGTTTCATTCAAAATAAAATTTTCCATAAGAAAATAAATTTTTATAAAATAATATTTGAATTAATAGTGCTTTAAAACAGAGAAACTATTTTCTCGATGTAAGTAAAATAAAAATTGTCAACATGAAATATATTTTTGTTTTTATAGGACGTTTCCAAGTTGGTCAAAATGTAGCTACAGCATGGACAACAGGCTCCGATCCTTCATCGATAAGCGACTTAATAAAAATGTGGTATGATGAGGTGGAACTATTCGACCGTAACCAAGTTGAACAATATGTGTAAGTAAAATGAAAATAAAAAAAAAATTTTTGTTCTATAGAAATAAAATACATAATAAAAATCATAATTTAATTAATAATGAATAATTATGTAATTAAATTTTGTTTATTTTAACTAAATTATTCTGTCACGTACAAGTTTATAATTTCAATTGATTTAATTAAATTTTGTTCATTAAAAATGCTTGTTTATAGCTTCAATACTGATACTGGGCATTACACACAAATGGTATGGGCAACAACTAGGAGAATTGGCTGTGGATATATTAATCACATGAGTGGAAATCGAAACACTGTTTTATTAGTTTGCAATTATGGACCAGCGGGTAATATTCGAGGAGAAAAAATATACGAAATTGCTAATTAGAAGAATTTTATTTCAATGAAATACCTTCTTTTGTAAAAAAACAAAATGTTGTACGGTTAACAATTATTGATCGTTAATTGATGGTTAAAATTTTATTGAATTTCTATTTAAAAAATAAAATCTTCGTTAATAACACAAAAGAAATTTGTCTTCTCTTTTAACAAGACCTACATATAGCTTGCTGCATTTTGAAATCTGGAATTTGTACGTACCTACACAAAATTTTTTATACACAAAAATTGAAACCCCGAAGGAATAATAAATAATTCAAAATGTGTATGTAAGAAATCAGCATTTAGTACAAAATAGTTTAAAATTAAGGGGAAATTCGATAAATGAAAAGTTGCATAAAAATAATAGGAATCCTTTCAATAAAAACAAATTTTTTTCAGCAATATTTTTAACCAAATAGTTTTTACCATAACCAAACTGAAAAAAATATATTTGAAAATTTGATCCAATTAAATATTTTTTTATTATAGCCAAGTTACCGATTATTTGGACGAAATAATTTTTTTTTACAATGTATCTGTTAAGAGAAATATATTTTAAATCAGTGACCTAAACATGAGGAAATAAATATTTTACTATACAATTTTAAATCCATTTTACCTTATCTGACGAAATACATGAAGAAAACTTTTACTTTCAAGGAAAGTGGATTGAAAATTTATTTTACGATAATGTACACCTGAGAAAATTTCAATGTCAACAAAATAGCAATAATTAGATGATGCATAAAGAGTATAAGATTAGTATAAAAGAAACTATGAAATGTGCATGAGTAAATTATTGTTGAAATTGCAAATTAAGTCAATCTCATTGCTCACTGTACGAAGCATAATGACATTTTTACGCAGTCTCTGTTTTCTTTTTACAATTCTAACAATTGTTGTCCTAATTCAAGGGCAAAATGATTATTGTAACATTTGTCAAGATCATACAATGTGTCGTTTCACTGTAAGTATATACAAAAGCCAAAAGTATGTACAAAAATGAGAAATTTTCAAAAATTATTTTAATTTAATTCGATCAGATCAGAATATATTTTATTCATTTCTTAGCATAAATAATGATTTTAATGCATAATAAGAAAAAAAAATTATAGTCTTTTTTTGAAAACTGTTTAATTTATTTTTTGTAGAACCCAAGACCAGTTTGTAATGCAAGAGTATCTTCTCTTACACCTGCACAACAATCCGAAATTGTGAGAATACATAATGAATATAGACAAAGAGTCGCTTCTGGTCAGGAAAGAAGAGGAAGGCCTGGACCACAACCACGAGCCAGAAATATGCCAAATGTGGTGAGATAGAAAATAGAGTTTTAACAATGTTTTATATCATGCTTACTGACCGTACCTTGAGATACGCTTTGTAATAATTAAGATCGCCAAATCAACAAATTTTTTGATTGACTTACAATCTCTTGTATTTATGATATTGAACCAGAAGTTGACAGGGATTATTATTTTATTGCTTATTATAATTATTACACAATTTATTTTTAAATAATTTAATTAATAATTCAAATTTCAAAGAATTATAAAAGAATCAATAGAAATTTAAAAAAAAAATTTTACGTCCTTTTTTAAGGTTTGGGATAGAGAATTAGCAACCATAGCACAAAGATGGGCTAATCAATGCAAATTTGGTCATGACACTTGCCGAAGAGTTCGTAAGTGTATAATATATTATTTTCAATACGAATAAATAAAAAAAATTCATTTTATCCTGAGGAAATTCTCTGAAAAATAATTAAAATTTCAGCAACGTTAAAGATTTAAAAAAAAAATTTTATTCTTTTTTTTAGGACGTTTCCAAGTTGGTCAGAATGTAGCTACAGCATGGACAACCGGCTCCAATCCTTCATCATTAAGAAATTTAATAAAAATGTGGTATGATGAGGTGGCACTATTTAATCGTAACCAAGTCGAACGATTTGTGTAAGTAAAAACTAATATCATTTGACTGTAAAAGTAAGAAGTTTCGGTTTTTTGTCTAATTTTACTTGAAATTATGTCGTTTTAATTTAAGATTCAGAATTTCAACAAAATATTGTTTTATAAACACAAAAATTAGCTTATTTTAAAACTAATTCTCTCTACAATTGAAAAAAAATGTATTTGTTCTATAGAAAAAAAAATTAGTAATTAGTTAAATTTATTAAAAATATGTAATTGTTAACAATGCTTGTTTATAGCTTCAATTTTGCTACTGGACATTACACACAATTGGTATGGGCAAAAAGTACGAGAATTGGCTGTGGATATGTTAATCACATGAATGGAAATCGAAACACTGTTTTATTAGTTTGCAATTATGGACCAGCGGGTAACTTCCGAGGAGAAAAAATATACGAAATTGCTAATTAGAGGAATTTTATTCTTCCTCAAAAATTAAAAAACAAAAAGATGTAAAGTTTAACAATTTTTGATCGTTAGTTGGTGATTAAAAATTTTTTAATTTCTATCTAATAAAATAAAATATTCCTTAATAACACAAAAATAGTTGTCTTCTCATTTGACTAGATCTACATATACCTTACCGAATTTTTCCTAGCCAAAAAAATATTAAGATTAATTACTTAATTTTATATGTATTTCAAAGTAACAGGAAATTTTTTTCAACAATTGAACAAACAATATTTTCATCACGTTTCTGGTATATCAATCTCAATTCTAGTCTCAGACGCATGTAAAAAATAACAAAAGCCAAAAAAAAGTTTTATTTACTATTTTAAAATCGATTGTAATATATAAGAAGTGTTTTTGGAACTTTGCATATGTAAATTTTAGACTTTGACGTATGTAAAAGATAACAAAAAGCCAACAAAATATTATTGGCTAAAAAGCTAGAACTAATTCTCATACGGAAATTTTTCATGTGTAGTATCCAAATTTTTAATTTAAAGAATTTAATTATATACAGTTGATTTTATGATAATGTGCACCTGATTAAATTCCAATGTCAACAAAATAGTAATAGTTATATAGGGCATAAAGAGTAACAGATTAGTATAAAAGAAGTTGAGAAAAGTGTATGAGTATAAGTTCTATTTGGTTGAAATAGCAAATTAAGTCAATCTCATTGCTCACAATACGAAACATAATGGCATTGTTACGCAATTTCTGTTTTCTTTTTACAATTCTAACAATTGTTGTACTAACCCAAGGGGAAAACAGTTTTTGGCAAAATTGGAGAAATTTTTTAAAACGATTTAATAAAGGGCAAAATAATATAGAGCAAAATAATAATGGGCAAACTAATAAAGGGCAAAATAATAATGGCCTAAATAATAATGAGAAAAATAATAATGGACAAATTGATTATTGTAACGTTTGTGGAGATCATACAATGTGCCGTATTACAGTAAGTATATACAACAAATAGAAGTTTTCAAAAATTATATTCAATTTGATTTCATGAGAGTAGAATATAATTCATTAATTTGTTATCATTAATAATGATTTTATTGTATAATAAAAAGAAACAATTATAGCTTCTTTTTTTAAACTGTTTAATTTATTTTTTGTAGAACCCAAAACCAGTTTGTAATGCAAAAGTATCTTCTCTTACACCTGAACAACAATCCGAAATTGTAAATCTGCATAATGAATATAGAAAAAAAGTCGCAACAGGCAATGAAGAAAGAGGAAGCCCTGGACCACAACCAGGAGCTAAAAATATGCCAAATATGGTGAGATAGAAAATAGAAATACAAAAAAAAATAAATATAAATTTAAAATAATTATTACAATTTTAACTGAAATATTATTTAGCAATTTTATTGAAAATAATATACAATTTAAATTAATAGATCGATTTCTTTTCAATCGATCTATTGATTTTTGTTAATTTTAAATTAACAACTCTTTATTAACAAATTCAGATTTCAAAATATTATAAGAGAATTAAGAGAAGGTAAAAAAAATTTAATTTTACTTTTTAAGGTTTGGGATAATGAATTAGCAACCATAGCACAAAGATGGGCAAATCAATGTACATTTAAACATGACTCTTGCCGAAATACTCGTAAGTATATATTAATAAATTATTTTGAATACGAATAAATAAAAGAAAATATTCATTTTATACTAAGTAAAAATTCTATCAAAAATAATTAAAATTTCACCAACGTTAAAGATTTTGAAGAAATATATTTTATATCGTCTTTTTAGAACAATACCATGTTGGTCAGAATATCGCTACATCATATTCAACAGGCACCAAAAATGACTCGTTAAAACAATTAATAGAATTGTGGTATAACGAGGTGAATCAATTCAACCGTAACGATGTTGAACGATATGTGTAAGTAAAATTAAAAATCGTATGTCTGTAAAAATATAAGAGAAGCAGGCGCATGGTGCCTCCATTGCAAGGTTTCGTGGTCTGTGAAGGTAACGATTATTACCATGGTAACGGTTGCTATGGACACGGGTGTCATGGATACGGTTGCTATGGTAACTGTTACCATGGCAATTATACGAGTGTACGACGGACGGACGGACGAACGCCAAAGCGAAACTATAAGGCTTTCGGGCCTGAACCACGAAACCATAATTAATAATTGATTAAATCATAATTTAATTAATGATTTATTAGTGTTACTGTTTAATAATTAAGTAATTGAATTGCGTTTATACTAACTAAATTTATCTGTCACGTACAATTAATAATTTCGAGTGATTCAATTAAATTTGATTTATTAACAATTTTTTGTTTATAGATTCAGTTACCATACTGGACATTACACACAAATGGTATGGGCAAAAAGTACGAAAATTGGCTGTGGATATGTTGATTACATGAATGGAGATCGAAACACTGTTTTATTAGTTTGCAATTATGGACCAGCGGGTAACTTCCAAGGAGAAAAAATATACGAAATTGCCTAATAGAGGAATTTCATTTCAATAAAAATTAAATAAAAATTTAATCATCATCCAAATAAATTTCGATTATCTGGATTATTAATTCATAAAATTAATCAGTGTTTATCTTGACGTAAAAGTGGCAATGAAATAACATAAACATTTTGTTTGATGATGTAATATCATATTTTTACTGCTTTTGCATAATACAATTTTGCGTAATCTAAAAGGAAGTTTTTGAAAAAAATTAACAAATATTACAGCAATTTTGTGAACGCTTAAGATAATTGACATTGCATAAAATAAATGCAAATATTTTGTATTATTTAATAGATGATTAAAAAAATCTTCAATGTTATTATTTACCGTATTATTCTAATCTATTTATGCAATTTTATGGGTACATAAAAGCATTTTTTGTAAAATTATTAGTTAAAATTGTTGTTGTTTTTCTTGAACAATTATCGACTATTTCAAATAGTTTATAAAAAATCCATTATTAGATAATATATAGTCGCTATATAAATTATGTGTAATCATTACGTTTAAGGAAAATTGTCATTTTTTGATAAAATAAAATTTGAGCGTTAATCTAGTAACAAATTATTGGTGCTTATCCTTTTAACGAAAATAATGTTTTTAAGTTATTTACAGATATTTTACTAGTAGAAAAATAATGATAAGTTGTTGTTTTATAAAAAAAATAGATAATTATTAATTGAGTACTAAAAAATAAGTAATTCTGGATAATTCATAATAATAATATGGATAATTAAGAAAATGAAAAACCCTTTAGAGATGTTTCAGTTATAAAAAATTTTAAATTTATGCTCATAGTTTAAAAAGCACGTGTTAACTGTTCAATAGTGTAAAATGTGAAAAGTATATATATATGTTATCGCACAATTTTAAATTCACTTTACCTCCTTTGACAACATTAAACTTTTGCATTCAAGGAAAATGAACTGAATGTTTATTTTATGATAATGCATACCTGATAACATTCTACGTTAATAAATTGCAATAATTAGATGGAGTAGAAGTATATAAAAGAACGTCAGAAAAGTGCACGAGTAAGTTGTTCTGATCCAAACAGCAAATCAAGTCAATTTCATTATTATATTCGTAAAACACAATGGAATTGCTACGCAGTTACAGTTTTCTTTTTATAACTCTAACAATTGTTGTCTTAACTAACGCGCAGAATGATTATTGTAAGATTTGTCGTGATCACACAATGTGCCGTTTCACAGTAAGTACAAATTGCTTATATTTTTATTATTATTATTTTTTCTATTATATTTTCAAACAAATTCTACTGAATAATTCTATAAAAAATTGGTAAAATTGTTTCAAGTGGATTTTTATTTTTTGTTCAATATAATAATAATTATTGATATTTATTATTAATCTTTTTATATAGAACCCAAGACCAGTTTGTAATGCAAGAGTATCTTCACTTACATCTGCACAACGAAACGAAATTGTAAATGTGCATAATGAATATAGACGAAAAGTAGCTTCAGGTAATGAAAGACGAGGAAGACCTGGACCACAACCACGAGCCAGAAATATGCCAAATATGGTGAGATAGAAAAATGATGAAAAATATAATTACTGAAAATTTATAAGAAATTAAAATAATATGCAATATGTTATTATAATCTTTAGGGAAATTAAAAAAAGTATTATTTATAACAATGGAAATTTGTTAAATTAAAATTTTTCTTATTAAGGTTTGGGATAATGAAATAGCAAGTATAGCACAAAGGTGGGCTAATCAATGCAAATTTGATCATGACAAATGTCGATCTGTTCGTAAGTATTTTATTTTAAATGAAGTGATGAATATTTTAAATTATCAATGCAGTTGAATGAAAAATATTTTTTCATTTTTTAGGACGTTTTGGAGTTGGTCAGAATATTGCTTTGGCATGGACAACGGGCTCGAATCCTTCATCAATAAGAGATTTAATAACAATGTGGTATAATGAGGTAGCACTATTCAACCGTAACCAAGTTGAACGATATGTGTAAGTAAAATAAAGAATTATTTAACGAAATTTGAAATAGACATTTGTATAAAGGGTTTCGGCCCTGAGCCACGAAATCCTAAAAAATAGTGCGGGAAACAAATTGTTATAAATAAATTTTTAAAAAATGATAAATTACTAAAAATAGGTAATCAATCTATATTATTATATCATCTCTCGTATAATTTTTTATAATTATTATTAATTAATTATTATAATAATTATTTATATTATTTAACCCTATATATTTCATTTTACTTTGTTTTTTAACAATTTTTTGTTTATAGATTCAGTGCTGATACTGGACATTACACGCAAATGTTATGGGCAACAAGTACGAACATTGGCTGTGGATATGTTAATTATATGGATGGAAATAAAAACACTGTTTACTTAGTTTGCAATTATGGGCCAGCGGGTAACATCATAGGAGGTAAAATGTACGAAGTTGCACGTTAAATAGACTTGTTTTATTTAAAATAGTATTTTCTTTTTAACGTTAACAAGTACTTTTGTAAATGAAAAATAAATATACCTAAAAAATTATGTTTAGTGTGTCTCATTTAGTCATTTTTTTTCTAAATCTTATATTTAATATTCTTTGAAGCGTAAAAATTGAATAATATAAATTGAGATTATTTATTTTTTCTGATTTAATGAAACGTTTATCTCATCAGAGTATATATATATATATGTATGTCAGACGCGACAAGAAGGCGACATTTCGCGCTCTAAATTCCAAATAACAATGGAAAATAATTGCGGGCTGTCGCATCTCGTCGAGATTCACAGCATACAATGATTGGTCCATTCACTAACAGATGTCATTCGATATTCTTCGAGCATATTTTCTGTCAACTAGAGAATTTCCCTTTCATCCCTTTTGTAAGGTTTAATAATAAATATCGTATCCGATCCATTGACAAATGAACCTCCATTCAATCTTAAATCTGAATTTAGTGATGCGATTGTGAACTTTCATTTTCACTTCCACTTTGACTTTCATTTTGATTGAAAATTTCTATTGAAAAATGAAAGTCAAAGTGAGTTTAATTATATATATATATATATATATATTAATATGTTTAATATATATTTATAACCCTGCTTCTTATGTAGAGAAAAATATGGCGATAAGACGAACATTAGACATTCTATATCATTCAATTATTTTTTTGTATACTTATATGTATATCTGTATGTGTATGTATGTATGTGTGTGTGAAGGAAGTCTTTTGATGTAGTACTCTAATTTAATTGGGTTCTGTTTATTTTGAAATTAAAACTTCTGAGATTGTAATTAAAATGTTTGTGCGAAAGAAATACGAGGGTCGTGAATTATATATAGGAAGATTTCAATTCAGATATATAAATGAGAAACTTTTTAATTAATACGTTTTGTATTTAAACAATTTAACTAATATTTAATTTTGTTTTTTGTATAATATGTTTTAATTAAATTATTAAAATTTAATACCATTTACTATTATAAGTCAATTAATTTATTAAGTAGATTAATTTTATAATTAAATTGAAACGATTAATTTCATGGAAATATTATCATTATATTAATATTTGAATTAAAATTGTATATTTTAAACAAAATATTAAAGATTGTTCAATATTATAGTTAGGACAGAATATAATTTTTGAGAAATTGTTCATCAAAAGTGAAAACAAAAGTTTTGTCAGTTTGACGCCAGGAAAACGGGACATTTTTTCTGACAACTATAAAAGTTCCTCTTTTCATGTGCTTGCGGGAGTTTAATTAAAAGTATGGAATAGAATGGTTCGTGAAGTTCTTTTAGTTTTTCAATCGTTCTTTTGTTTTCAGTTGTTATGTTTTCTCTCTTGGCTCAAATACGTGTTATATATGCGTACTTTTGTCGAGAACATTGCGATATATAGCAAACGATTAATTAATAGCATTCATATATACATATATATTACTTTCGAACCGCACTTTCCTGAAAATGTGGCTTTGTGCGCGAATTAATAATTTCAAACGAGCTTTAAAAAAAAAACAAAGAATTAAAAAGTAAATAATTTACACAAAGAAATTTGCATATACATATCATTTAATAATATTTTTATGGGACATCTTTTGGCGAAAAGAATATATTTCCAAATGATTTTGATTTTTTTTGTAATTTCCAATTCCTGACCTAAATTTCTATTCTTTTAAATGGAAAAAGTTTTCCATGTTTTTTTTCTCTGCTTTCAACTCTCTATATGAAAATATATGTATGACTAGAAATCATCTACTTTTTAAAATTTTAGTACTGTTTTTTATGTGCGAAAGCTTTTTGAAAATTGAAAAATTTAATTAAATTAAATTGAAATTATTAATTTTTTAATATCGCACATTAAATATATGGGAAAAAAAGAAATAGAATTTTTGTAAAAAAAAAAAAAACAAACAAATTTGATGACATACCTCTCCGCTGTATACATCAGATGCATAAAGTAGATCAAAAGGTAGCGCTGCCACGAGGTCGACTAAAAACCAACTCTTTAAGTAATTCACAGCAATGCTTTTACTGTTACTGACGACTTCTCCCTTTCTGTTTACGTACGTTGTTCGAAAATTAAGAATAATATCTGAAAATTTACAAAATTGCAGTAAAATTAGATGACTTTTTTAAAATTTGAATTTCAATCTTAAAATTATACATCGAAAAAAATCAGAAATTAAAAATAATATCATTGACACCAAAAAAATATTTATTTTTTTTTTTATCGAATTAGTTTCTATATTGTTGGTATTGGTGAATAAATTATGATAACTGTTATAGAGAAGTTGTGATCAAATTTCAAAATTTCGTATATCTATAGCTCTTTCATGTGTGACATGTTTGATAATTTTCTATATATTTGAAACTGAACCCAGAACTTTGACAAAAGTATAGCAAAATTTCCATTCGACATGTAACATAAATCATGTTTTGATAGTACTAAAATTACTAGCTGTTAAAACTCAAAACTTTTTAAAAACAAAAAAATTTGAATTTCATATCTTTTTAAAAAGAAGCGAAAAATAACTTTTCAAATTCCTATGATTAAAGTTCAGTTGGATTAGTTTTATAGAATTTATGCTGATGCTAAGTTCAAAAGGTGGCACGTGAGGGTCAAAATTTCGAGCCCTTGTATCTTCTTGTATCTTGACAACCTGTCGTTATTAGGTCAAACCGTTTATGATGTGTAAATATATTTAGATTATATGGTTGACATTTGTTTAAATATAAGTTTAAAACTTTGTAATTAGATGACTCATATTTTTTTTATTAATTTTCCATTTAATTTGCATATATAAAAAAAATAATTTCACATGTAGAACAAAATTTATATGTGAATTTTTTAAACTTTAAAGTAGCGCAATGAAACGTAAATTACGTATCAAAACTTATGTAAATAACATGGTTGGATATAATTCTCCCATCTCTGGACACACTTGCATGTAGTTTGAACGATCAAAGAGACTTCGTGCAGGATATTCATCCACGATTATTCAGTAGTAATATCGACCAATAGTCAGACAGGAGAAAGCTAACATCGTTTCTAATTCTTTTTCATATAGGAAAAGTTTTCATTATTTTCATCATGTAAATAACAAGTATTTTTTTATTTAACTGAATAGTGTAATAATTTACATAATTTAATAATAATTATAACATTTTTACTATTAGTATATAAACAAAAAGAATTAATATGAAACAAATTATAAACAATAAATTTAAAGTTTTAGAACATTTGTTGTGTATTTTTTAATGCATATTGTTACAATCTATATGAAAATAGTCGCATTTTTTGTTCAACTTTAAAGTGTAAAAGTAAGAGTTCAACTTGACCTAATATATTAATGTCAAGTTGATCTACAACACAAAAAACTCAGACCACGTTTGTTATATTTTTGCATAATATTTTCTTAATGTTCTTTTTGTGAATTTGATTTATAAAATTCGTCTAATTTACTCGCAATATTTATTAGTTTAAGTAATAATAATTATTTAATAGGTATATTAAATTTAAAAAAAAAATTCAATTAATTAAAATTTAATTAAAAAATCGTTATTTATATGTTATTAGATTTATTTTATAATTATAAACTATTAGTTAAATAGTAAATAACTACGAATAGAAAAATTTTATAAGGAAAAATTAAAAATAAATTCTTGGTATATATACAGTGAAATAGTAACGTTCGTAATTGATTCAACTCGATGGGGAATAAATCATTAAAATTCGAAAGAAATCAGAGAATGAAAAGGAGATACCACTTAATTAACTGAATTTCCAACAGTGAGAACTTCTACTTTTCAATTGGATACCGAGGGAGTAATTCTCCAACAGGTCTTCTATTCTGAGTTCATAATTAGGTTTAAATCTTTTCCACTCTTGGCTCAAAGAATTCTAAAATATTTCAAACATTTTTTCAAACTGTAAAACAAAATTTCACTTCCGCAAAGTAAATCATAGAGATTTTATTAATTTTTTTGTTTCCAGTATAATGTTTTATTTGAATTGAAATATCGTTCTTATTAGAGCAAAGTAAAAAAATGATAAAATTATTCCTACTGATTTATGTTTCAATCAAAAAGTATTACATAAAAAATTAATAATATATGTATAGTAAAAATGAAATGTTATTTCATGAATTAGTTATTCATTTTATAAACAATATTTTTATTGTTAATTGTCGAAGGTAAATAAAAGGGAACGTACATTGAATTTCAGACAGAAGAGTTCGAGAATGTTAATTACTATCATTGAATAGCGTAGAGTCACACAGAGATTCTATTTAAAGCCAGGTACATCAATTAGAAGAGAATCCATGAGGATTCTAGCGGAGAGGAAATGAAAGAGCTTTTGAAGCTGATTCGCTTGGTTCTACTGATGGTGGGATCTTTGGTTTTACGACAAAAGCACTTATTTCCTTTGTGATTTATAATTTTAAATAATTTCCACTATTGAAAATTATTGTTGATTTGTGGAAATTTTATATTTTCTTCAAGTTATTTTATTATCAGTTTTTATAAAAAAAAAATATCATAAAATAGTTTACTTGAGCATAAATGTCGATAGCGGGTACACCAGTTGTAACTTTCGAAAATTCCATTTTTTTTAAGTTTCTTAAACTATATGTTTTTAGAAGTGTGTCTGTAAATTTTTATAAAGTTTCTCATTTTAACCAGAGAAAAAAAAATCATATATGTATAAACACAAAAGAAAAAATTTCCTGCGAAATCATAGAATTCCCAACTCCACTATATCCTTGAGTGAGAGCATTTTTGAATATATATTCCAAAAGTTTTAGATAGAACAGAGAAATAATTTTTTAAATAAAAGTTTATGATAACCTTTTATAATAATTGCTATAAAGTTTTCTATTTACATTTAAATAAAAGAAATAATATCTGATGAAAGAAAATAGAAAAAAATTGGCTTTTCTAATTTGTAAAAAGATTCTTTTCCTATGGGGAAACTTACCGGTAATGAAGAGGCTCTCGACTACAACATCGCTAACCATGGTAGGCCTGTCTGTGTTAATGAAACTTGCATTGTAAGGAACAACTACTGCCACATAGAAAGTTGCTATGAGTATTAGCCAATCCCAACACGTCTTGTAAATCCCATAATGGCTTAAGATATATTGGGATTTCTTAATCGCTGAGGTCTTGTACTCTGGAAGTGGCGCTGCCGCGGAATGAAGTAGGGTCTGAAATAATAAATATAAATGTAAAAAAAAATTCCAATCCTATTTTTATTTAATTTCACAGAGATTTGTGATTGTTTTCTTTTTTTTGAAAATAATTTTCCATAAACTATTCACAGGGATAATTAAAAAAGGCTACACTCGAGATTTTTTTAATTATAAAGCTCAAAATATTCCCCTAGGGACATTCTTTATGCAGAAAAAAATAGAAATATATTTATGATTTACATTTCTAAATATAGATATTATTTTCAATTATCTTGGATTAAATTATTTAAAAATTTTTGATGAAAACTAAATTTTTATAAATATTTTTCTAACACCAGAGAAAGTTTAATATTGAAATTTTTGAAAACATAATATTTAGCTTGTTAATTTAATTTTTTCTCTCACCATAAATATTTTTGATATAAATTAAAGTGTAAGTTGTATAAATCTTTTATAATTAAATTTGCAACCCTATACCGGAATTTGAATCCAAATAGAATATTTAAAAAATGTTCTGTAACATTTTAAAATGTGCGTGAGAGAATTTTTTTTTGATTCAGGTTGAATACTTGGGAAGATAATTTTCCGATAAAGCAGAGGCGTGTCAAAATGATTTATAGACGAGTGGGTGAACACACTTGAGAAAGTAGGGTAGGAACTATATTTTCATTCTCATATGCTCACTACTGAACTGTTCAGAAATTCTCTGATCATGATTACGAAATACTTCTCTAATTAATTTAAAAGAAAATTTAGTTCTTCTCAAGTCTATCTCATATTCTTTGCAACTTTTCACTTAATCTACTTTCTATATATTGTAATTTAATCTTCTCAAATATTTACATTGATTGACAGTTATGAATTTTTTTTTCTCTTGAGCTCTATTATCAGAGTTAAAAGTTCATTAAGAGGATATGAGACACTTTATTCTCTTTAGTCAAAGGCATTAAAAATTCTCATCAATCTATTTCCATTTAATTATTTTTTAAATAGATCTTATAAAGCGAATATTTCGATTTTAGTGATTATTTAAATTTAAAATATGTAGGATTAATAAAAATAAAGAACAAATTGAACAAGAAAATTATTAGATTATCACAAATAACAATTCCGAGTGCCAAGGATTTAAATTGTTTTATTATAATTATTTATATGGTACATCATTTTAATTTTTATTCCAAATTTTATTCAAAATTAATAAAAATACAAAAAAAATTTCTTTCTATATAAAAAACATATTTCAATAATAAAAAATGAATACAGATTATATTTTTATAATACTAATTTCTGATACCAATTCCAATTTGATTATAAATCCAGCTTCGATAATAGAATATTTCAGTATAGACACCTGGATAATTACCTAGGGCACAACCTTTACCCCAAGAAATAATTCCAGCAAGATGAACACCAATGACTAAAGGACCACCAGCATCAGCTTTACATGCATCTTGTCCTGTTAAAGATGCACATATTTGACCCGCAGGTAATCGTCCTTGATAATGTGTTCTACTGCAATAATTTTTATTAATAATATTGACCCTTCCCTTTCGTAATAAATTGGGAAATGTTGAATTCATCCATCCCCAGCCGGAAATTTTGGCAAAACTTCCATCTAATGCAGGTTGATTCAACAATAATGGAATAGAATCACGTGTTCCATCAAACTTAAAGGGAGTTTGAACTCGAATAATAGCGATATCATTTACTGGAATGTTATCATTGTTTAGATAATAATTTTCATGTCTTATTATTTGTTTCACTTTGTGAACTGAGCCACCATACTGTAAATCGTTTGTTCCAGCTTTTATAGAATATTGATTAATACCACCAGCGGAGACACAAGCGGCTGCAGTAAGAACGTCAAATTCAGATATTATACTTCCTCCACAATAATGCCTGCCATTTAATTGAACGCTCACTTGATAGGGTATTTCATCAAATCCTGATACTTGTGTTCCTCCCACTATTCGCGACACCAGGCCATTTGATGGTGCCGCTGAAACAATATTTTATAGTTAATCAGAAACAGTTTTTCGTTATTTATATTCATTGGGTCAATTCCGTTTGCTTTAAGGGGGGCAACCACATTAGAAGGTTAGCGAAGTAGGTGTTAAATTTCTTATTAATTTTATACCAAAAACAGAATCCAATGATCACACGCCTAAAAATTAGCCTTCTACTGTGGTTACCCCTCGTTAAATTCATGTTAAGATACATTTAATTGATTTTAATTAATTCTTTAAATGAATTTTCTATCGTTTTTTCAACTTTTACAGAGAAAATCAAAGATCAAAGAATGTGAAACATTTTCTTAATTAAAAAAGTAAAGAAATGGAAATTTAAATTGAACTAGTTTAAGTCACGTGATTAAAATATATAAAGTATATCCATAAATTCTTATAATGGAAAAATCTAATTTGCTTTCAAGTTTTCTAAAGATAATAGATTTCTAGTTTCGTTTAAACAAATATTATTTTTTTAATTAAGATTTTTCTCCTTTAAAAATTTTAATAAATTAAATAAATTTTTTTCCAGTGTAATTAATAATTTATATTTAATAGTGAGTTAAAATTTGTTAATAAAATAAAATTACTAAACTTACCTGTTGCAATAATTGCTACAGTCACTACTGTCAGATATCCAATCATGATTGATGCTTCACAAGCAACTAACTCGGAAATACAAATGTTTCGAATCTACTTCATAAAGCAATGGTCTCTTATAATCTTATCATATAAATTGTTTCCTCATTGACTTTTTCTTAGAAAATAATCACGTTTTACATAATCAGGTGAATCTTTTTTGGAATGATTTATATGCATTTTTTTTATTTTGACATAATTACAAGTATCAAGTATTTGATAAAAACATTTCAGAGAAAATATTGTTCATAAAATAACAGTGATTGTTAAAAGTTATCAGAAACTTATAAATATCATTTTGTATTTGTTAAAGAAATTTTTTATTTGTTTGAATTGTCATTCTTCAAAAAAAAATTGGAAAGTTTTATATTTGTATTATGTGAATTATGAGAGTTTTTAATGATAAGAGTGCTAAAGTTTTTTTTTCTCTTTTTATTGAGGACTAATTTAAGAATTTTTATTCACGACAAATTTTAAGTGGTTTTAAATTATTGCAAGTACTTGCTTCAAGTAATCACCTTGTTTCTTAAGAATAAAAATTTTTAAGATTCTTGACTAACTTTTGAAACTTTTTTAAGAACTTCTTTTTAAGCTCGCACCACATTCATTCTTTGGATTATTAAGATATATTACTGAAAGTTGTAAAGCACTCGAGAAAAAGAAAAACTCCATCTTATATATTTATATATGTCTCTGAAAGAAATATTTTAAATTAAAATTTAAGATGTTGAAAATGAGACGAATGTATGACATATTCAGAAAGGTGAAAAAAATGTCGAGTCTCATCTTTTTTTCAGACCTTTATAAATTATATTTTCAATAATAATGATTTAAAGTCGTCTTAAAATTATATAATGTATAAAGAATCTTAGTGGAAATTCTTTATATTTATTTCTTCCAGTGTAAATTGTGCCGTGTGGCAGTTTTTTGTAGTTTTAATTTAAAAATTTTTTACCTCTCGCCTGAAGAGGAGATTTCTTTTTGGAATACAAAAGAGGAAGTTGCATTAAAAGAGAAGTTCCTATCAGTTTAATTAAATCCCTAATTGTCTCTTATTTTAGTATTTTTAAAAAAATTTCCACAATCATTCAGTTTCGAAAATTGATTTTTAGTCAAGTACAAATAGCACTCATAAACACGTGTCTTTATAGATACATATCTACGGAGATAACTTTCTTCTAATTCTATGAATCATATTTAATTTGGAATGATTGATTTACTGAGAAAAGTGATTTCATTAAACAATTCGTAAAATATTATTATTTATTTTTTACTTTTATCTTTTTCCTATTATGAAATTAACGATAATTATTAACGTAAAATCCAATATAGAAATAAGGTTTAATTTTATAAAAACAAATACCTCAATTTTAAAAAATATAATTTATCATTTTTAGAATCGTTTAAATTTCAATGAAGAAATATGTAATAATTTTAATCAGCTTTAATTTGTGTTTAATGTTTTGCATAAGTATTACCATGCCTAGAGATATAGAATACGTGCAAGGATGAGACGAGCTGTAAATTGAATTACTCGTGCAAGGTATAGAGCTAAGTAAATTATTAGTTGGCTCTGGTCCAGTCATATGAAGGCAGGGGATGTTCTTGTGGGTGTGAAATTTAGTACTTTAAACTTTATGGCAGGATCAAGAATGAAGACATATAGATATAGTTGTTTGTCGACAACAAATCTCAGTTTCGACAATACAACGATAATCTAAAGTCATTTATCGCTCGTTGTAAATGCGTTAGCTCTACCAAAAATAGTATTTATGAGTGAGTAATTCAGTTTTAAATTATCCCTGAGATTATCAATTTTGTTTATTAATTTTAAAGTAATAATATATAAATAAATATTTATACTCACACTATTTAACTTAATCTTATGTTTACTGTCCTGCTTATAATGGCCTGACAATTGATATAGGACGGCTCGACTTCTTCTTCTGCCATAATTAGCTGGAGGAGCTTCAGGATCAAGATTGCCATTCGCATCTGAAAATTGTTAAACAACTGTATTTATAGATAATTAAAAATGTTGCATTTTATTAATGCAGTTTTTTTGGCAATTATATTATTTATCCAATAAAAAATAATGTGCATTTTTTTGTCCTATATAATATTAAAACAAAAACACATTTTTATAAAGTGCGTGTTTTAAAAGATTTAAAAGGCGCAACTTTAAAAGTGTGAGAAGAATATGATTAAATTATATGCTTTTCTGGTGACAGATGCTTAGTTTGCTTTTCTGCATACTAAAATTTTCATAAACAGTGCCACAAACGTATTGCATTACTTTAAAATGTGGTTTAACTCCAACTTTGTACGATCCTTTTTATATGTATATATGTATGTGTGTGCTTGCCAAGTTTAAGCTTTTCAGAGTTTAAATTCAGTATGTGAGGACAGAAAAATTTTACTTTAAACTTGTTTTTAAGTTTTATTCGCATATTGTTTTATTCATTTGTATTTTTAAATTAAATTTAAAAAGAACTGTGAACTTATGTTTATACAAATAAAATTTAATCAATAATTGTTAACTATATAGCATTTTAATAACATAATAATTAAATTGAAAAGAAAGCTTAAAAAATAACAGTAAATTAATTAATATAATATATTCTCCATTATCTGAAATTTCAGACTTCCAATAGTGAATATTCGTGATAAATTAAAAATAACGTTTAATAACAATAATAATAAAGCCTAAAGTGCTATTGGTGTTTTTGCTAGCAAATTGTGTATTTTTAATTAAAAAATTTTTTATTGTGAAAATGTTCTAAATTTATTAGTTGTATAATCAAAAAGCTTTATTGATGCTTAACCCTTCAGCGCCTTCAAAATTTAAACAAATTTTACTTATTAATTATTTATTAAAAGTTTTTCCATTAAATGTAACGTTAATTAACAATTTATTAACATTTTGCAACATATTTCATTATATATTTTAGTTTACTGTTTTAAAAAAAACTCGATTAGTTATATTTTAAAAAGATATAAAAAAGTCAACATTTTCATTGATAATCTATAAAATTGGTTTTTATCACTCGGTAACAAAACAATAGAAACTTTCTTTTAATATTAAGAAATATTTTTTAAAAAATGAGTTTTAAAGGGTTAAACTTAAGCAAAAAAGAAAGTGTGAAATAAATTTCAATCTTTTATAAAAGACGAATTAAAATTAATACCGTATTGATCGTGAATTCCCTTGTTCCTGCATAAAAAATGTTAATCGTCGTGGCTTTTAAAGCGTGATTACATGACGCATGAATCTCTGGTAAAAGTTATTTCATTTATATTTTTTTAACTCATTTTTAACATTGTTTAAAACACTAAATATAGGGGAATTTTTTTTTTTTTTTTTTTTTGTAAAATAAAAGAAAGATATGTGTATTTTGAACAAATACATTGCATCATATTGTGAGCTGTTTTATATATTTAACTGAAAAAAGTTTATATTAGAAAAGTTTTATTAGAAAAGTTTATTGAAAAAATATTAAATAAAAATAAAAACATTACTGAACTTTCCATCATTGATTCAGTGCGACATTTGCAAAGCAAAATTCACTCACCACTATCGTATAACTCACAGAGTTGAAGATTTTTTGTATGAGTGATATCCTTATGTGAGGCCAAAAAAAGAACGACGTCACCTTTTTCGTTTTTTATTGGAACAATGTCAAGTAGGCAGTCGAACGGACTTCCTGTAAAAAAAATATTAACAATTGATTTTTCGAAAAAAATGAAGTAAAATTTTTAACCTTCATGTTTTAATGTACGTTAAAAAAATGGAAAGATTCTTCTAAACTGATACATTTCATCGACAAATTTACATACAGGAAACTCCGAAATTAGAATTTTTGCTTTTAACATGTTTTTAGTATTATTAAATGTGGTTTTAAGCAAATTTTCATTTAACCTAATTTTTTCCATGAAAATAAAGTCACAATAAGTATTTGAAAAAAACTTTCATTTTACAAATAATTTCTAGAAACGAAATTCCCAATTTTCAATTAAACTTTTCTTTCGTTAAATTTTTTAATATTTTTGTTGCACGATTGTTATATTTCAATTACTTCTTTGTTAATTATTCTACCTTCCTAAAAAGAGAAAGAATATAGTTCATTTTGTTAATTTTATTTGTTTACGTTAAAATTGTATTTTCCATTTAATAGGAGAAAAATGATTTCAAAATAAAATTATTATTCGCCAATCAAAACTTTTTTATTTATTCAACAATAAAAATAACAATATACATAATTGATGAACAGGATATTTGTAATATTAATTTTAAAAAAATTTACCAATAAACATTATTTTATCATTTTTATATTTCTTTTTTTAATTTTCTTTATATTTCAATATACAATAGTTTTATAGATTAATTTTTCATCTATAAAAGAATTTGTTGACAATTATAAAAAAAATAAATTTTATTTAAAACACATCCTCATAACGTACAGCTTCATACATTCTACCGCCTAGAACATTACCCGCTGGTCCATAATTACAAACTAATAAAACAGTATATCCGTTTCCATTCATAAAATTAACATAACCACAGCCAATTCTCGTACTAGCTGCCCATAAAATTTGCGTGTAATGTCCCGTATCACAGTCGAATCTGTAAACAAGCATTGTTAATGTAAACTGTAATTAAATTAATCATAAAGTTATAAAAATTTTATTGGACAGTTTAATTTATTTGTTATAAAGGAGATTAAATTAAATTACATAATTACTAAACAGTATAAGTTATAAATTATTAATAATTATAATTAATTTCTATGGACGTCCTACGGAAGTCCTAAGGATATCCTAATTTCCCTGAACAAAATTATATCCCTAGGACATTTTAAATATCTGGATGCTGTTAGGGAATAACTCAAGTAAATCCTTACAATCATTACATTCAATAAACTAATTAATGATTAATTTTAATTCAATAAAACAACTCACACAAATGGTGTAATTTCGTTACGGTTAAATTGTAAAACCTCATCGTACCACATTGTTATTAAATCTCTTATTGATGAAGGATTCGAGCCTGTTGTTGTTGTAGCTCTAGCTACGTTTTGACCAACATGGAAACGTCCTAAAAAGATGAAAAAAATATTTACAGTTATTGTCAATTCACAATTTTATATTCAAAATTAAAAGGAGATTTTTATTTATTTGTGTTTTGTTGCACATGATTTTTTAATGCTTACGAACTTTTCGGCAATTGTCATGACCGATTCTGCATTGATTAGCCCATCTTTGAGCTATGGTTGCTAATTCACTATCCCAAACCTTAAAGTGTTTAATTTTTATAAAATATTCTAAACTCTTAAGTAATTATTAATTATATTATTAATTAATTTATTAACGGGTCTGAATTATTAGAAGAAAATGACTGAAAATTAATTAACAAAAAATAACTATTTAAATAAATTTCTAATATCGTTATCTTCTTTTTTATTATTAATTATATCTTGAATTTTTCATTTCACCATATTTGGCATATTTCTGGCTCGTGGTTGTGGTCCAGGATTTCCTCGTCGTTCATAGCCTGCAGCAACTCTTTGTCTATATTCATTATGCAAATTTACAATTTCGTTTTGTTGTGCAGATGTAAGTGAAGATATTCTTGCATTACAAACTGGTTGTGAATTCTTTAAAGAGAAACAGATTAAATTAAACAGTTTGGAAAATTGTTTTACATAAGTGTTTCAAACAGAAATTTAAATGATTAAATTTCTGCACTGCAATTTTCATAAAAATAACGGTTCTCTAAATTTTGGTTTAAGAAAATATTAAATTTCAAAGCTAAGCAAATTGAAAGTATAAAATTAAAAAATTTATTTTGTACTTACTGTGAAACGGCACATTGTGTGATCTGTGCAAATACTACAATAATCACTTTGCCCGTGGGTCTGGGCAACAGTTGTTAGAATTATTGTTAAAAGAAAACTGAAACTGCATAACACGGTCATTGTGCTTCGAGCAATGAGATTTATTTGATTTGATGTTTCAACCACAATTTACTTATGTAATTTTCTGATGCTCCATCTAATTATTGCAATTAGTACCATTTTTTAAAAGTAAAAATTGTGTCAGAGTACAATTAGAATTGTACATATATATTTTTAGTACTTGTAAAAAAAGCTTTTGTTATTCAAATATATAATTTTTAGTATTTTTTATATATGTATTTATATAATATACATATACATGTTACTACAAGTGAACCGCAGATAAGCAATTAGAGTAAATTGCAAACCAAAGCATTTTCGATTGTATATTTTATACACATGCAGTATTATGTACGTATATACGTGATATTTGAATTGACAGTAGTAAAAGCAATTTCGATCAGCCAACCAATTGTAAGTTCTATAAAAGCCAAATTTTATATACATGTATGTACTTTATATATATATTATATTAGATATATAACTGCGATTTAATCTGCTTGAAATTTCAATTTTTGTTCAAAAAAAATAATCTGTTAACAATCAACCTAACAGTAATAACTAAATAATAATTAATAAATAACTTTTGAATTTTACACTCTTTTTATAATTTATAATAAAAATCAAATTACCCAATCTTTAACGAACCTTCGGCTTTAATTACAAAGAAAAATATTCTTTAATCAAAAAGCAATAATACTTTTCTTATATGTCAATAAATAAATATTTAATTCGATTGAGAATTGAAAAATTATTAAAAACTTATATTGACTTTCAAATGATTTTCTATAGTTTCGGAAAGGTTTCCTATATATATATATAGAATGTTGAGAGGACATAATATAACTTTTCATAAAGTTTTTAAGCAAACATAAAATTCAAGCTTAGTCTTCCCTTTACTTTTTTTTATCAAAAGTTGTAAGAATATTTCCATGAGAGTATATATACAGCGTTGAAACTTTTAATTTGCTCACCGCTCTTTTTGTAAAAGGTAACCTCCATCTTGAGCTCGGTCTTACTCTCAAGGCTTTTGTCGATCATTGCCTTTTCTTCTTCCTTCGTTTCCGGTCCATAAAGAAATTTACAAGCGCAACTCTTTTGCATGATTTGCGCTCGTGCAAATCCTGTCAGCTCACAAAATCCATCGGAACAATAAACAATCGGATAGATCGACGGAACCTGCGCATTTCCCAATACAAAATTGCTGTCTGTAACAAAAAATATAATATTTCTCATTAGTAATCTACTATAGCAAAATAAAATTTGTATTAAATATAGAATTTGTATATAAGTGCAGTTATCACCTGTGGAAAAAACAACTTTCAAAAAATTAACCAAAAGAAAAATTCAGTGTCCATGTATATGTTTTATCCTCGAGATCGATCTGAGGTCAGGGAATTTAGTCACGAATGGTTTAGCATCATTTTAGTAGCGTGCACAATATGACGTCACTATGTTTGAGGGTTTCTTTGTAATTGATGTTATTTTTAAAAAAATAATCTCAAGGGGATAGAGGAAGAAAATGGAAAGTTGAGTGAAAACGTACGAAAAAAAAAGTTTTAATTATAGTGCAATAAAATTTATTTGAGGTTTTAATTAACTGATGTTATTAATTTTTTTGCAATATGCCTATTCTGCTAATTATAATCATAAATTTTTTTTGTGAGAGGAAGATTTATACCTTCACCCTCTTCGTTAGTTTATTTTTAAGTGGAACTCTTAAAAAATAATTTTTTTTTATAACTAAATAAATTTCTTTTTTATCACTTCTCTAAACGAATAGAAAAGGTGATAAAAATCTAAGAAAAGTTAAGCTAGAAGATTTGAAACAAAGCTAATTAGAGAAAATGAAATTCACTAGTTAAGAAACAACAAGGGTTGTATACCTATTTGTTTACCAGAGAAGTTTACCTTGAGGCAATGAATTCTATTTCTAACTGGGCTGTATAAAAAGAAAAGTCTTTTCCTCTCCTTACTGAATTAATCTGACAGGTGGTAAATTTACCTTGTAAATGACTATTTTTTTCTCGAGAAAATATTTCCACAATATAATGTTGTTCAGAAAAAAAGTTTCTTTTGAATATTGAAAAAAATACATTGTATAACAATTTAATAAATAAATAAATGAAAATTATTTATACTATCTTTTTCCAATTTGAAATTTAATAAATTGCAATATTTCTTAAAAAGTATAGTAAAATTTACAACTCATGAAGAAATGGAGCTTTATTTTAACGATTACAATTGAAAAAGCAATAATTTTAATTATTGTAGTTACAGGCAATGTTTGTACTCGTAATTGATTGGCAAAGCTATCACTTCAGTTTAGAGCGTAACGGTATAAAATCGATTAACACCAATGGAGTTATTAGAGCCTACCTTGCAGTTGATTGTTCTGTCATTTATAATCGTCTCATCATCCGCTAAAGGTGATGTATATATGTATTATATTATAAAGTCAAATAAAAATTAATGTAATAATTAACTGTATTATATAAATTGTAGTTTTATAACTATGAGAAAACTTCTTTTTATAAAAGTAGATATAATTATATTATTATTATATTATTAAATATTTAACTAAAAGTATTTTAAATTATATTAAATTTTTCCCCAAAAATTTTTTGTTTATTTTAATGAAAGGAGAATCTTTTTTGAATTTTGATAAGATAATTTTAATGCAGTTTACTTTGTGCAAATAGAAATTCCTAATAAATTTGTATGTAAATGGTGATTTCGAGTGGAAAGCCGACGTTTAATTTGCCCTGAATGAACTCTATGATACTTTCATAATAATTATTCTTGTGCTTATACAATTTATGCAACACTGGAAATCTAGAACTAATTTTCCGAATACACGGAAATTTTCAATTTTAATTTAACAAAATTTTTAATTATTATAGAATTTATAAGAATCAAACAAATTTTTTGATGCTCTCTAAATCTGAATTAGTAAAAATGTTTACTAATTTAAATTAGTGACTCACTTTTTGCTTTAGAATTAGTTAAATTTTACTAATTGTTAGTAAAAGTTATTAATAATTAGTAAAATTTTACTAATTCAGAAGCAAAAAGTGCGTCACTAATTCAAATTAGTAAACATTTTTTGATTTTTACTAATTCAGATTTAGTGAGTGACAATTTCTGTTTTACTGGAATCTTGATAGAAAGTTTTAATTTCGATTAAATAAAAAATTTCTTCAAAAAATCTTTCTATTTTGTAGAAAATCCTATCTATAATCTACTTCTAAACAAAAATTAAAAATAGACATTTCGTGAACATTGATACATGTAAAATTCAAGTACTTAATGAGTTTTACGAAAATATTCGCAAACTTTCTGAAATTCTTGGAAAATCTAAAAAAAAATAATTCCCACCGTTTCGACTTTTTTTTAAACGCGCATATAGATGAAACGAATGCGGGTGCGTCCTTTCATTTGTAGATTGACAGTTCCAGTTAAAATCTGAAACATGTAAATACTCTTGTTCGAAACCATCTGGATTGTACTATTCTTGTCTTTCGAGTTCAAAACTCGTATTCCAAATTTTCGATAACAGTTTCAATTGGACAGACATGATGGACGTTTCGTTATTCTGTCACAGGTTAATGACCTCGTTTTAATTTTAGGTGGTATATGGGTGATTCCTAAAAAACTGGTCATTTTTGAGAGAAAAAAAAATTTTTTTTAAGTTAAATTTTTTTTTCTTTTTTAAATTATAGGTATTTGCTGGTTTTTTAAAATTTAAATAGGAAAATTGAAATTTCAATAAAAATTGAACCTATTATCAAAAAAAGGCTGTTAACTCTCAACTTATAGTTTATTTTAGAATTTGTACCTTAATTCCATCAAAAGTTTTCGCAGGTAAAATTACGCTGACTCCTAACGTCTTTCGCTGAATTTGTAGTTCTCATTATAATGTTAAGAAGCTTTAATTCTTTCGATAAAAGCTTTTTGATTTTATGATGAAACTTGCATTAGCATTGTTGACTTTTCCTGAGAGTCTTTGAAGTAAATAGGATTTGAAAGGATTTTCTTTGTATGCAAACACTTTTTACACATAAATTATTATCAAAACGTTTTTAATAATATAGAGTGGAATTAAACGAAAAGCTTTTACTGAATAAATTTCATTTAAATATGTATTTAAATTGAACATATATTTGCTCAGTATATAAGATTACTATGAGAATTAATTTAAAGTAGATTATATCCATTTAGATGAAAAAAATTTCTTCATATAATTTAAAAAAAAAAATTTTTACTAAAAAACAAAAAAGTATTTGAATTTTATTTAAATAAAGCAGATTTTTTTCTAGGTGTTCCTTTAATAAATTAAATTTTTCCCTCTTTTATTTTATATTCAAGTTTTGTCAATGTATCAAACATATATATAAAGGATATTTGATATATTTGGGGAAAATTTTCAATTTCCCTACAATATTCTTCGAATGGAAATTGAATTTCTTCAACGAGAGAAGAAGACAGTTTATAGTATATGTATACATATAGAAATGATGATAAAATAAATCGAGAAATATATGTAAACTTTTGGGCAAAGGGAGAAACTGATTTACACACCTGTAGTGTATAAATATTGAACAGCAAATATATAAATAAAAATAAAATCCTTAGAAAATTTTATAATACATGAAAAGAGTTGAGCCATACGTAAGAGGAGACGCGGAAACTTGAATTTATGCCAGAAATAAACAGACGTTACGGGTGTACGTCGCAATGTGTGAATCATTTCATAAGTTAGATAACTGATATACCAAAAGAGAGCGCGTGATTTTAAAATTCCTTACCACGTTTATTGCATAAAATAAGAAGCAATATTCACTCTCTTCATACATTCAGGAGACCGATATAAAAGGAAATATTTGAAATTTATGTATGCACACCAAAGAGACGAAGCTCAAATGAAACTGAAAATCGTAACATTTACATATATAGAATATGACAGTAAGCTTTTAATATTTTTCTGATTTTTTGCAAATTTTTTATAGTTGGAACATTTAAGTATCGAATATATTCTACGAATTTTTATTTCTTGATTATTAATTTAATTAATTAGTTTTTTTTTATTTATTTTATTAATTATTCTTTATATAAGTTTTCATTAATAGAATTAGGTAGGGAAATAGTCACGTGACGCAACTATTATATACTATTATATATTAGGTATTATATATTTTTTTTATTTACGCAGCTTGTAAACGTTAGAATAACGTTTCTGAAATTTTGACACCTTTTAGTGTTCAATTAACGTCGCAGAATTTCAAGTTCTAGGGTAAAGCTTTAATTTTCAAGACAAAATATAAAAAATTCGAAAACTAAATATAAATGTCGTTTATACAGAAAAAAATTTGTTTAAAACAACAAAATTTTGGTTAAATGTATTTCTGTACAGTTAACTAAACTTTTCTTTGAATCAGTAAAAAATTTATTTGGCTTAAATCACTTTCTTCGTTTAAAAAATGAATTAAAATAAACCAAACGTTTTTCCTATTAAATTAAATAGACGAATTAATTTAATTATTAGCACTCAGTGAAATAAATAAATATAACATTTTGAAAATAGAAATAAAATTTAGTTTCGATGTTGCGAACAGAAAATTTTCGTAAACAAACATTTAAGACTGAACTTATTAGAGTGAAACCTTCTCTCTTTGACATCTTTATTTATAACGTTTCATATCAACGTTGTTTGTTGCTCAATTAATAAATAACTTCGCTTGGACTAACTTTTCAGGTTTTCCCCGCAGTTTCAACCAGCCATTTAAGGCTCAAATTATTTCTCATGAAACAACTATAAATCGAGTAAAGCTCAAAGTAAATTTCTAATTACACAGGAGAAAAACATCTTATATATATAGAGCGAGAGAGAAAGAGAGCATTTGCCTTTCCAGAAGCTCCTTCGTTCCTTGGAAGCTGAGAGAAGGGCAATTTCATAAAGTTCAGTAAAAAGAGAGGAGAAGGCTTCGCTCCACTCGTACAAGTTAGATGGAATTTTCTGCAAATATCGTTGCAGAAAAAAAAGGAATCCTATACCGACTTTTTCTTTTAAATTTCCCTCTGTTTGTTATCATTTTTTTTCTTGCTGTTTACATTGCGAAAATTTCTAACAATATTGCTGGTAATTAGTCTTTTGGATAAAAATTGATTTAATATGTGACGCTCCATGAGAAAAAGGATCTTAGAGACA